TGAAAATTAAGACGAGGGAAATAGTCAGGCCGATTCACTAACATGAGTCGTTAACGTTAAACAGTGGTTATCGGGCAATCCGGCCAATCGGGCCGTTTAAATATAAATATAACCACTGATTTTAGTGGCTAACGTTAACAACTTATGTTAGTGAATTGGCCTGATTGAACATTTCATGGTCAGTTATCTTTCAATAAAATACACTTATCATGTACAAATATAAGAGTATATATTAGGGTGGTTCTTATTTGATCGATGTCGAAATTTTAATCGTGCCGCCCCCTCATTTGTTTTTAAAAAATATTAAAAAAATGTATGACAAATTTGAATGTCCTAACTTATTTCCTTCTATTGCCTGTAACAACGAGAAGTTTTCCAGATGGAGGATTTTTGCCTTTAAGGTATTAATTTTTTAAAATTACTATTAATCTATGAAAAAGTATAATTTTTTGAGAAAATGTAGAGGACATAAGTAACTTTTAAACAAAAAAAAATAAATCATGTACTTTCATCCTAAGGTCTTTTTTTACTTCGTTCGATTATTACTTACAGTTTTTCATATAGAGGATTTTTGCTTTAAAACGCAATAATTTTATAAAATCATTAATAATTAATGAACAATTCTAATTTTTTGAGGAAATAAAGGGAAAATATGGTCTTTTAAACAAAAAAAAAAAGAATTCATGTATTACCATAGTAAGGTCTTTTTTACTTCGCTCAATTATTACTTTTATATTTATTTTATTGAAAATGGCATAAAAAAACAAAATATCAGTGATATAATTGAATGAAGTAAAAAAAGACCTTACCATGGACATACATGAATTCTTTTTTTTTTTTAAATCCCCTATATGAAAACTGTAAGTAATAATCGAGCGAAGTATAAAAGACCTTAGGATACAAATACGTGATTTCTTTTTTTTTTGTTTTAAAGTAACCTATATCCTCTACATTTTCTCAAAAAATTATACTTTTTCATAGATTATTAGTAATTTTAAAAAATTAATACATTAAAGGCAAAAATCCTCTATCTGGAAAACTTCTCGTTGTTACAGGCAATAGAAGGAAATAAGTTAGGACATTCAAATTTGGCATAATTTTTTTTAATATTTTTTAAAAACAAATGAGGGGGCGGCACGATTAAAATTTCGACATCGGTCAAATAAGAACCACCCTAGTATATATTGGTCAATCATGGCCCTCACAAATAGTCGAAACATTAACAAGTGTAAAATTATATTTACGGTGGTTAGTCCATTTTCAAGGAATAAATTTCGATTTACACCCAAGTTTGAATGGTTACTTTATTGTTTTATAGGTGTCGCCTTCTACAAATATTGCATTTAAATTATTTTTAGTATTTGTCTTACAACTCTGATCAAAAGTCTTTGTACACTAGGTACAACAACTTCGTATCTTTGTCTTGGGCTATCTTCGGTCAACACTATCGATCACTCGACTTAGTAGCAAGTTCCTTTGCTTTGCCCGAGCTTTTCTGAGAAGAGATAAGCTGAAAAGAAATACTGTAACAAATAATAACAAAAAATTTCTCAATTATTAAATTATTCTTTAAACTCATCTTAAATTTAGGCAGTTAAAACTGTTTACCTGATACTTTCGATGTTTAATTCATGTGTCGTCGTCCCTTTTATGAGAAGTCCAGTGACGTGCCAGAATTTAATTTTTAAGGGGGAAAACCAAAAATTAAAATAAAACTTATTAACTTTAGTTTGTTTTTTTTAACGGTCCTAAAGAAGAAGTTTTAAGACATTTGACAATTTTAATTAGTTTTTGACAGTTCTTAAAAAAATGTAAAACATCTTTATATATATATATATATATATATATATATAGGGCGCCCCAAAGGTTAAAGCATGATATATATCATGGGTTAAGTGTTAATTCCTCTTGAAATTCCTAAAAAAAATTTCCTTTACCATTTTTTCGAATTCAAAAAATTGTAGGAGTTATTTAATTTTTAAAGCCGCTAATAAGAGGGCAGTGTTTCTGCTCTATCGGACAAGTTTTTATCATATTTTTTGTGTGTTTCTAAAGATGCTGATATTTTATAATTGGGAAAAACAATTTCGGTGCGCTCTCTTTGACGGCCTTAAATTTAAAAATTAAATAACAATTTATCAATTTCAAAAAATAGCCTTGGAATTTCAAGGGGAATTAGGATTACTAATAATTTGAACTTTTATGTATACATTTTTATCTGAGATTTAAAAACAACATCAAAAATAATTAAACCTGACAACACTTCTAGTGTTTTTAAATTAAGTAAATAAATTTAAATTGCTTGCTTTGCCCTTCCTAGTTCCGCCACTGCGAAGTTGACTCCAATTTAACAGCAGCAGCACATGGCTCATCTGTCGAGTAATTGCGATTTTTTTGGTCGCTAAACACGTCATACCCGTTAAAATTTCAGCAGCAATTCCATCATTTGTTCATCAAGTTTCGTGCGATGCTCCATTTTTAAATATTTAATGTGGCGGCTACGTTTACCTACCCTGTGGAACCCCTCGCGCGTATAAATTATTTTGTGGGTTAAAAGGACCGGTAGCACAAGTGGCATTTTTGTTGCGATAGGAAAATATGCTTATTTTCTAGTAAGTAGTCATTTTCGGTGAGTGTGTTGTTGGGTTATCTTCTAGCGCTTGCGATAAATTTTGAACACCTTGCGTCTTAGGGCGCACCTGGCAGTAGGCGCTAGTTTTATAGCTTGATTAATATTGTTTATAAGTTCACTATGGGACAAAACTTGTTTCTTTTATTATTGACTAATAATAAATTATAACTTTTAAACAGTGTAAGAAAAAATATTGTTTTTGGGTAGTACAAAAAAGTTTAATGATTTTACAAAGTTGTCTTTAAAAATCATTTTCTGTTTAAAAAGAAATTTTGCTCACTTTCGATTCTTCATTTGTATTTCTATCTCACTTTTTCAAAACATTATTTAGAAATTTAGGTAAAACCTAATGATTACCTATATTATTTAAAATTTCGCTCTTTCATTGGTAACAAGTAAGCAACATTTCTTTTTAGACAGTTTATTTCTCAAAATACTAGTGGAACTTGTAACTTTTACTTTTTGACACTCACTAAAAATGTTGAATTTAGTACTAATGAAAGATCGAAACAACAAATGAAGGAGCGAAAGTGAGCGAAATTCTTAAGTTCATATGTAATAATTTTTTGCTAAAAAAATAACAATATAAGCGAAAGTGACTTAAACTCATCCTTTTTATTGGACATTTGATAAAACTACCTACTACCTATGGGGCATTCCATGCCAACTCATCCTACCGATTGGATTTGCATCTCCGATTTCGCTGAAATTTGGGTATCTTTTTGTACCCTTGGAAAAAGGTTTCTATGAATTTTTTCAATTTTTTTCATTCAGCCAATCGAGAGATATGAATTTTCGAAAATTTCGGGTATTTTTTTTTTAAATAGCCATAACTTGGTGAAAAATTGTCCGATTTGGGACTTTTTTTTTTTCAAATTTCGTGTTTTTTGATGAACTTTTTGAAAAATTTATGCAAAAAATTATTCATCATAAATTTGATTGTTTTTTTTTCATTCCAAAGTTAAAACAAGAATTTTAAGATTGTTTGTATCCTTCAAATTTTTTTAAAAAATTCTCAAAAATTCTACTCTTCAAAACACAAATTTTAAGCCTAGTCTCGTAATGGGATAATAATGGGTTATATTTTTTTTTTAATTTTTAAATTTTTTTTTTCTGTTTTTTTTCACTATTTGTGTATTACTGGCGGCTTTATTAGATGAGATTCGAAAAAAATCATACATCAATATAATAAATAATTGAAGTCAAAATTTCAATTTCTAAGGTAAATTTTATTTATAACTTTTTAAAGGTTTTTTTTTTATTTTTTCTGGCGTTTGAATATTTTACAAGAATAAGTTTTATTTGAGCAAGAAATCAGTTTCATTGTGAGTAATCCATCTGTATTTGGTATAACGCAATGATACTTTTGTGTACCTGTGATACTTTTAGCTTTCGAATAACGTATATTTAAATTCTCTGTAGCTTTTTCATAATCTGCAATAGTTGAATATCTTACTTCGATTTTTGGCAAGTTATTAGATTGCGCAGCCCATTGATACAACTCTCGGGGGTTTGAAATTTGTTTATCGAATGGTAACTGAAGACTAGCTCTTGCTACACCTCTTTTTAGTGTTCCTCCTACACCGTCACAAGGTCCTTTGCCATGGTAGCTGGCAAAGAAATGCCATTCAGCATTTATTCCAAAATCTTCCTTGTGATAATATAAATTAAAAAAGTTTTTGTAATTCTTAAATTGTTGCGGAGCTCCATCGGAAAAGTAGAATATCTTTTTAGCTGTATTGGACAAGGACTTTATAAAAGCAGTAACGATTTTCAAAAAGACGTTAACTGCAGTCGAGTCATGCGTGTTACAATCAGATATAATCACTAAACTTCTGTGCAATAATTCATTATTTTTCTTAAAATAAATTACCACTGGAAATATTGTCGATTGATCATTATTCCAATGGAATCCTGGCACTGCATTTTGGATGACAAATTTGTACTTCTCCGCAAAATCACAAACTACAAGAAATTCATCGGTTTCAAGAGACTCTTTAAGAGATTTCATGAATCTTGCTTGCGATTTTGCAATAAAATAATGAGGCAAAAGTTCCGTAATTTTTTCGCAAAAGTCACTGATGAATTCTGATGAAACTACCGTTAAAGTTTCAAGCGTTGTCCGCGGTTTTGAAATCCAACATTGATACGTCAATTCATCGATATTATTTTCTTCAAAAATCTCGTTCAAAAAATTTTCGAGTACATCGATTCCTGGACAGTTTTTACACTTGCCAAAATAGCACTCTGAAGATGAACTCTGACAAACAATCATTTTTAAACAATCATTATATTCAATTAAAGGTGTCGGAAGATCACTTGTCAATTTTCGTAAATTGGAACCTGAAAATAATTGCAAAAAAAAACCATGCAATTAAATACAGAATTTAGCAAAAATAATAATCATAAAACAAAATTTGCTGAATGGCATTTCTTTGCCAGCTACCATGGCAAAGGACCTTGTGACGGTGTAGGAGAAACACTAAAAAGAGGTGCAGCAAGAGCTAGTCTTCAGTTACCATTCGATAAACAAATTTCAAACCCCCGAGAGTTGTATCAATGGGCTGCGCAATCTAATAACTTGCCAAAAATCGAAGTAAGATATTCAACTATTGCAGATTATGAAAAAGCTCAAATAAAACTTATTCTTGTAAAATATTCAAACGCCAGAAAAAAATAAAAAAAAACCTTTATAAAGTTATAAATAAAATTTACCTTAGAAATTGAAATTTTGACTTCAATTATTTATTATATTGATGTATGATTTTTTCGAATCTCATCTAATAAAGCCGCCAGTAATACACAAATAGTGAAAAAAAACAGAAAAAAAAAATAATTTAAAAATTAAAAAAAAATTATAACCCATTATTATCCCATTACGAGACTAGGCTTAAAATTTGTGTTTTGAAGAGTAGAATTTTTGAGAATTTTTTAAAAAAATTTGAAGGATACAAACAATCTTAAAATTCTTGTTTTAACTTTGGAATGAAAAAAAAACAATCAAATTTATGATGAATAATTTTTTGCATAAATTTTTCAAAAAGTTCATCAAAAAACACGAAATTTGAAAAAAAAAAGTCCCAAATCGGACAATTTTTCACCAAGTTATGGCTATTTAAAAAAAAAATACCCGAAATTTTCGAAAATTCATATCTCTCGATTGGCTGAATGAAAAAATTTGAAAAAATTCATAGAAACCTTTTTCCAAGGGTACAAAAAGATACCCAAATTTCAGCGAAATCGGAGATGCAAATCCAATCGGTAGGATGAGTTGGCATGGAATGCCCCCTATACATAATAAAAACTACAATTTTATAGATAAATATTTCAAAAAATGTGGATAAAACCACAATCCACACAACAAGGTCTGTTCTATCTCATACTAAAAACACTAAAAATCACTGTAACACTGCACAGAGTTTAACGGCGGCCATTTTTGTTGTTTACAATTTTTGTGCTTTGGGTTTGTGCTCTGTTTATACAGATTAATAATCGTTTTAACCGTTATTTTTCTTACAGAGGCACTTGTAAGCCCTAAAAGAGGCCTTAAAGTGCTAAGAACAACCATTTTACTCCTCTTTTGTAAAAAATAAACCTTATTCTATCAGGGCTGTCATCAAACTGTCAAATGTCAATTTTAAGGTTATTTTATAACCCACAAATTAACCTTCAAATTGACATTTGACAGCCCTGATTTTTTACAAAAGAAGAGTAAAAAGGTTGCCTTTAGCACTTTAAGTCCTCTTTTAAGGCTTACAAGTACCTCTGTAAGAAACACAAAGTTTAAAACAGTTATTAAACAGCACAAACCCAAAGCACAAGAATTGTAAACAATAAAAATGGCCGCCGTCAAACTCTGTGCAGTGATTTTTAGTATTTTTAGCATGAGATAGAACCTTGTTGTGTGGATTGTGGATAAAACTAAAAGAGTGAGAAACATTCTTAAGATACCTTTTATACAAGTTTTTCTAAAAAAACCAAAAGTTAACTATAAAAGGGGCGAAAGTGAGTAAAACCTAACACTCACTATTTAATTTAACTTATTTTATTTACAATTTAAAAAAAAGTCGTTAAGCAATTAAGTTTAAAAAAACGCTGCGTTCTTACTATCACACAGCTATTTAAAGCCTAGGATTTAAAGTCCACAAAGTTGACAGATGCATTTTTTGACAGTTTTTTTAAATCCAAACTAGATTAGATTATCAAAACCTTGTTCTAACTTTTTATTTTTGAAACGCCATTAGAAAATTGAGTTTTAACTTTTAACCATGAAGCCTACAAAAGAAATCCTAACTTAATAGGGGAAATTGACAAAATCTGTCCTGTTTTTTCACCACCAGCGACGCTGATTGTCGATGCTTACTGACGTCTCTTGTTTTGGTATCTTAGGAAGATTTTTGGATACATGAAGTTCGGACTGTGTAGGCTCCATGCTTTTAACCCTCAATTTTTGAGTTAATATTTTGTAAAACTACAGTAGTACCTAGTAGAAATAAAAAGAAATTCATTAAGTTTTATATTTCACTCAATAAAAATTGTGCTACCAATGAGGTAAATAAAGTTTTACTCATAAAAAGTCAATTATACTTAAAATAAAAGTATAGCTCTTTTTCCTAAAAAAAACACAAACGTTTAACTTTAGTTTATGATAAAAACTATAAATATTGACATTATTGTCGTATCTTTAATACAAATAGGTATAATTTTAAATGTCATAATTCAGAAATATTGTTTTTTACTAGCATTGCCTCTCTAGGTACAATTATAGAAATGACCCTAATGTACGCAGGTGGTAGGTAACCAATAATTTCTACCTACCAACCACCCGAAAACTTTCTTTACCCTATCGTGCGTCTTGCGTTCTGTTCTATCGCCCCCCGAATTAAACTAAAAAAAAAATACAAAACAGCTCTCCTCGATCGCTTGTCGTCCGACCCCTTTGTAGTGCGTGCACTTACGACATGCAGCAGCACCCTTTGCCCGCGCAAAGCCTCCGCACTTTCCGTCGTCGGTTGCAACGTGATGGCGGTTGTTGTCCTTATTGCATCGTAGACGCCCGCGTTTTCCGACTAGCGTGCCTCGATTTTCACGCGAAAAACTTTCCACGCTTTCGTGTGATTCACGTGTTGTGCGTCCCTTGCGATCTGATAACGAGTTTGTGTTGTTTTTTTGTTTTGTTTGTTAAGTGTGCGTTGTTTGTTTGTTCCCGCGCAATGGATTTGTTTTTATTTTGACGCTTACGCACCGGACGGGCGTTATGTGTACTAGGATACTTACCGTTGTAGTCGAAAAGGTTGGTTTTAAGTACTCAAATATAACAGGTTGTTTTATTTATCATTTAAATAATAATAATTTCTTGCACTTTTTACTTATTCTGTCCCGCTTGAACACTATTAAGTGATAAAGGACAAAAGATCATTTCAATTGTTAAAAACGATACAAATCATCTTTTGTCCTTTATTACTTAATATTGTAGATATGGGGGTTTAACTTAGCACGACAATTTTGCTGATATTACATGACAATAACATTTTAGTCGTTATATATTTTTTTTTAGGTTAGGTTCACACCTCCTAAAACTCATAAAATTCCTAAAATTTTACTTATATCTTGAAAACTCCTAAAATTCTCCTAAAATGGCAATCAATCTCCTAAAACTCCTAAAATCCTAAAAATTAAATTTAAATATTCCAACCTGACTTGCCTTTAATTAAGGTAGTGCTAAAAAAATTCTGTTTTAAAAAGTAATTTAAAAATATATATTTTTAGGTTCTATTCTATTAAATTCTTTTTAAAATGATATAATATCACAACCAAAACAACAACGATATTTCGTTTTTTAGTCAAAAATATACCGTGTTATACAAACGTGTATATCAAACAAAAGGATTTTTAAATTTCTTTTAAATGACAGCTAAAATAGTAAACAATCTAAAAATGTTTTGCTGTATTTTGCAAACTTCATATTTTGTTATGAGATTTTTAAGTATTAAGATACACATTCAATTTTCTTAGTTTCTTTAAGAAACTTTCTTGACCCATCACTGGTAATATTGACTTAACAACCGAGCATATAAGCTGAGGGAGTAATTTGTTTTGATTGTGTTCCACTACACCAAGTTGCCCGACACTGATGAGACCCAATAAAGGTCGAAACAGCTGTCTGTCGGTATTTGAAGTTGGTGGAACGCATTCAAAACAAAAATCTTTGGCGAGGTGTAGGTTCAATTTTTTCTTATTAAGATACACATTATAATTGAATCGTTGAGAATAAGAACAGTAGGTATATATATATACAAGTCCAAAAATTAAATTTTGACAATTTATTTTCTAAAATCAATTTTAAAGTTTAAAATACATTTTTGTGAGAAGATAAAAATTATTTTACAGAATATGAATATTATATTTCATAAAATAGTCTAACAAAAATGCATTTAGAACTATAAAACTGATTTTTTGAAATATTTTATCAAACATTTTACTTTTGGACTTGTACTATTCTTAATCTTACCGATTTAATTACTGTTAGTTATTAACTAAACGGTTAACATATTTTTTCTTAAAATATAAATATAACATCATATGATTTTGGCATAGTTTTTAAACCAAATCTATCGACGCTTTTTTTAAATAAAATTAAAAGTGTGGTGAAATATTTATACTTGTATATATATATATATATGTACCTCAGATATATAAAAAAGTAGTAATTTTACGTCACTTTTAATTTTATTAAAAAAAAAAACTCGTCGAGCGATTGAGCTAAAAAACTAGCCAATATAAGTTATTTTTACAAAATAAGTATTAATTTTTTTCTTATTTTTGAAGTAGTAGGTATAGAGCTGTTTTTATTTAATTAAAGAAATTCATTTCCATACTTTATTTCTCCTAAAATTTTACAAAAAAACCTCCTAAATTCCTAAATAAAATTTATAATTTTGCCGTGGGAGCCCTGGGTTAATTATTTATTTTAATAAAAAATAACATTTATAAAATTTTATTTAGTAATATCTAAATCAAGTGCTAATATAATTTATTAAAATTAAATTCAACCTTTACAATTTTTCACACAATTACATTTAATGAATTTTTACATGTATAATCCAATCCAATTTAAAGTCTATTTCCGATTTTTATTACTTAAAATTAAAGATTATCATGGATTATTACCAGCTCTGAATTCGGTTCCGGGGAAAATACTTGAGATTGGCATCCCCTCCAGCATTTGTAATTAATGATTTTAAAAACTCACAAAATAGATATACTGGGTGGGATTTTTTGGGACCTTAAATAAATTCTTTTTCAAAAATGTGTCCCCATAAGGATTTTTTTCGAAACTTTCGCGTCTCACCTTTTGTGGTAATATTTTAGTTTTAAAATCATAGAATATTTTTTAGCTAAAATTTATGTTGACTTTAACTCGCTGAGTCCAATGAGTCAAACATGAGTCCGCCCTAGTTAGACATCCAGCTAATGTAAACACCGCGTTCAAAAATAAAACCACCAAGTATACGGAAATGCAAGTGAATCACATGCATATGTCTCATGGACGTGTAAAGAAAATATACAGGGTGACCAAAGATATCTGGTCAACATTGCTATCTTCGCTATGATTGGAGCTACAGCTTAGAGGGTTAAATTAGCGTCGGGTTCCCAAAATATTCAAACACATGGGCAGGGGGGCACCGGGGCGGTTTGCCCACCCTAGATCCGGGGCTGATTACTACATAATATACTACAAAAATTTAATTTTAAGTTTTAAAACTGGACGTTATTAAGTTTGGAAAATCCACATTTATTCGTCCCAGAAATTATGTAGATTGCAATTTTTATATTTAGATTTCTTGGTAAAACCAATAATGAATTTGGCAGCTGTTTTGATCAAATAAACAACATGCATTATCACATTCTTAGAACGTGTGCAACGACTTTTTAGTCATTTGATGTAAAAGGTCCACAGTGTTTAATTTTTTCAGAGCTGTATCTTTAAAACTGTAAAACAATAATAAAATTTTGCAATACCACAAAATTTTAAATTTCCTAAACGTTTTGAGATGAGACGAAATAAAAAAAAGTTCATTTTTATTGAATGCAAAAGTTTTTAAACACAGGGTGTCCCAAAGGTAAATAGGGAAAGATTCAGCAGAATAAATAAATAAATAATAAATAAATAGTTATTTATTAGCATAAGCTATTTTTACAAAAAATACAAATAATTATATATAAACAAATACCTACCATAGTCAAAATATCACAATACAAAGTTTTGTTTAACATAATTCATCACAAGTTTTCTAAATATTTCAACCCTATCACAGCTTTTTAATTCATTTGGGAGGCTATTAAATAATACCAAACCATTAACAAAAACATTTTTTGTTGTTTGTACCCTATCATAATTCCCCACATAAAAATCATTAATACTCCTAAAGTCAAGTCAAATCCAAGCCGAACTCGACATAAACACAATCATGCGTTGTCCATGCTCTATTCACGTGATCGACGAAAATTGTTGCACTGGGCCGTATTAAAATATATTGAATCAATATTATTGATCATTTAATATTTTAAATTTATTTTTTAAACTTTGATGGAAAGGTGTTAAAATATTTATAAAAGTTATATTTTTTAAATTACGAAATTAACAAAATTTTGGGAAATAATTTCATTATTATTTTAAATTTATTTTTTTAAACTTTAATGTAAACTTTTTAAATTTTTTACGAAAATTATATTTTTTAAATTAACTTCACGAAATTTTTTAAAATTATTTTAAATTAATTGTTTTAAACTTTAATAATTAAAGTTTAATGTAAAAGTTTTAAAACATTTAAAAAATATGTTTTTTTAAATTACAAAATTAACAAACATTTTTGAAATTATTTTATTATTTTTAATTTATTTTTTTAAAGTCTTTTTTTATTTATTTAAACATCATCATCAGTATCATCATCGCCACCCAGATTAATTAAAACCAAATAACCACAACAATGATAGCAATAACAACAACAATAACAACAAATAACGTTATATAACAAGTATTAATAATAAAACAATAACAAAAATAACCACAAAGATGAAAGCCGCGAAAACAAGGAAGTAATCAAACAATACGCTATTAATAACCGCAATGGACATAATGCGGCCCTGACAAGAATTTTCGGCACGCTTCACAACTCAGACTCGCCCAATAAGAACCGTTCTATCCACCTGCAAACGACTGATCACGCGTCTGGCGTTTTTTGTTTTAGTTTGTCTTGGATTTGACTTCACTTTAGTATTGTATTTATGGACACTTTGTAATAAAATTAATTTGTTTTTTAAATATGCAGGAAAATACTTAATATATCAAGCATCATTTTGATTGGAGTATACCTGTTACATTTTAAAATAATTCTTAATGCTTTATTTTGTAGTTTCTGTAGTTTTTGCATTTCATTATTATTTATACAGAACAACACAGTTGAACAATAATCAAAATGTGGAGCTATAATGGCTTTATACAACAATAATTTTACTTGCAATGATAGATTTTTTCCCATTCTACCAAGAAAATATACTTTTTTTGAAATTTTATTTAACAAATACTCAACATGATTTTTAAAATTTAAATCTGAATCAAAAACAACACCCAGATACTTTATTTTATCAACTTTTTCAACTTTTATATTATTAATAAATATGTTAACATTATCAAAATCTATATTAACAGTTTTATGACTAGATGAAATACACATATATTTGGTTTTACTTAGATTTAGACACATATTATTATCACAAATCCATTTACAAATATTATCTAATTCCAAATTTAAAACATTTACCATATCAAAAATATTATCACCACTAACATAAATCATAGTATCATCTGCAAACATAGAAATATCACAATCTTTGGCATACTTTGACATATCATTTATATACAATAAAAATAATAGGGGTCCCAAAACAGTACCCTGAGGCACTCCATAATGGTTTCGGACATAACATTATTAATTTTAACAGTTTGAGATCTATTGGTTAGATATGAACCAAACCATTTTAAAACAAAATCTGTAAAACCTATTTCATTAAGCTTTTTAAGCAATAATTCCCTATTTACAGTTTCGAAAGCTCGCTTAAAGTCCAAGAAAACAGAAATAATAATTTTAACCTTATCAATTTCTTTAACAAATTTATCATAAACATCCAAGACAACAGATTTACAACTGGGATTTTTTCTAAACCCTGATTGATTCTTTACAATTACACTATTATTTACACAATATTGATCTATCTGCTTTTTTACACATACTTCCAACACTAGTAGGAGAACTGCTGGTATGGACTGTAAAGGAACGGGCGGGGAACCCAAACAGCTAAAGCGCGCCTCTGATTGGCTACTTTATTTAATTAAGTAATTAAGGTTGTGTCAGAATGCCGTCCCCTATCCCTTTTCTGCTATTCATGACTGGGGACACCCTGTATAAGAAAATAAACGTTGTGAGGGATAATTTTGCATTTAACATTATAAATTTTAATGCTAAATATTTAATAAACGTTATGTTTTTTCCAGATGGCATCCCTGCCCATCTCGCGTGGTTCCACCTACTCAAGCTCCGATTCGGACGAATCGGACGCAGACAGCGCCATGTTGGCGCAATGCAGCCTACAGGAGATAAGTCAGGAGGACTTGGCGGTCATTCTTCCGGAGCAGCAGGAATGCGACGCCTTCGATTTCGAGTGCAACCGGACGGACAAAAACTCGCCTCAAACGGGCGAGATGTCCGGTTCGGACATGGAGCTTCCTCAGCAAGCCGTGAACGCTCTTATACAGAGGACCACCGAGAGTTCCAGCGAGTCCGAGTCTCATGCTCCACCACCGCCGAGTTCGCTGTACGCAAACAGTTTGTTGCAGCAGTTTGTGGCGCAGACCCAAATGCTGAACGCGCCATGTCCAGTAACATCCAGTAATGCGGACAGTGGCAAAAATACTAGTGGGAGTAGTGAAACTCAAAACGCAAAACCTGAGGATAACGTCAAGAAACGTAGAGGTAGACCCAAGAAATCTATAACTACAGACTACTGCGCCAATCCGAATGTATCGCCAGATTCTGGAATTCAAAACAGTCCGGACCACGTGAGCAGTCCGGAACCGCAATTATCGCCCAACGTGAAGCAAAAAACTAGAATTGGAGACTTGAAGAAAAGTACAAATGATAAGAAATCTCAGAAATGTGGAAAAACTGCTGCAAATGTTTTGGTTAACAAGAGTTCAAGCAAAACAATTAAGGAAGTCAGTAATACTAGTAGTAAAATCCCCGTAATATCCAACCGTTTCGATAGGCAACTGTACGCTAACGCTGACAGAGTGTTGTACCCACCACGTAGAAAAGTTGGAAGACCACCTCTGACAAAAAAAGGGCCAGGGAGACCGCCTAAACACAAACCGCCCCAGGAAGCGCCCGCTGTACAGCCAGAAAAACCTTCAGAAAAAATAAAACCAGCACAAAAATCTAAAAGTAAATCTAACAAACCTGTACTGACAACAAAAAATAAGTTGGATGTTTGCAAAACTAAGAGCGTGGTGTTGAAAAACGCCAAACTGATGCACAGCAAACACAAACATAAGAAACACAAGAAGTATAAATTCAAAATCCTAAAACCCATTTCGGCGTTGGAGCCGAAAGTGAACATAGAAATCGACAAGCTCATCGCCGATTTCGTAAAGTACTGTGTTATCGATAGTTTGAAAACTAAAGAAAACCTTCCGGAGATAATCAAAACGTTGAAAAAAGTCTCGAAAAAGCGTAAAACCACGGAACACAACGAGAAGAAAAAGAAGAAACAGAGCGTCAGCACGACAGTCAACAAAGTAACAAACTCGAATGAACAACGTTTGCCCTTGAAGAAAAGACACTACCATATTTCCGTGAACGAAAAAGAGGATTCGGAGGATTTAAAGGAAGAAACCGAACCTAAGAAAATCTCAAATAAACAAACAATCGCATCCACCAAAGTGGAAAAGGTTACTAAGCAAGCTGCAGCTCCAAAAGTCGTTGAGGTCAAAGCGCCTAGCGGCCCCAAGTATGTACCTGTAATAAAGACAAATACAAATTCTAAAGTGCAAACTATCAATAATAATGAATATGAAGTGAAGAATGCCGCCCCCAAGAAAGTAGAGACGCATATTGAAGAAACCATCGAAGCTTGCATCAACAGGTTTTCCGATGAAAAAGGTAAAGTTGTCAAGGTGGAAGATCCTCCCATAAAAGAAGAAAAATTGAATACTTCCAACAGTTCTATAACGCCGAAGAAACGCCATAGACTAGAAAACATGTACTCCCCAACCAAGATAGATACGTCACCACCTGTTGAAGACTCGAAAATCTCCGTGGAAACCTTTATCAACGAGTTGAAGATGAAACGAAACTTCACCATTAAAACATCTCCAGAGAACGAAGAAGACAAGAAACCTGTGGTTTCCGAGATTTTGGCGGCCCAGCAGCCGCCCAAACTATCCCCAGAAACCACGAAGAAAAAGGTGCGAAAACGAAGAGCCATAAATAGAACCGGTTTTCCGACTGTCAAAAAGAAGAAAAAGAAGCTTCCAGTTTTAACCGTCGCAGAACCGAGTGTCGTGGTCGAGGAAACAAAGCATGCTGAGATATGCGACCGAGTGCCTAAAGTTGGAGAAGAATGCGCAGAATTCGTGGAAAGAACGAAGTCTCCTGAAGTGAAGGTGAATGAAAACGTCAAAGAGACCGTTATGAATGAGGATAATATTTCTTTATCGAAATGGGGCGATATGAGCGATTGTGACAGTCTTCCGCAAGATGAGAGGATTGATGAACTGGACGATTCCAAATCTGAAACTAGCACAAGGTAAACAAACATGTCACCCTGCTTAAAGAAAACAATACCTGTATCATCTGTAGATGATTAAAAATAATTAAATCCCGATTGCAAAAACGATCGAGTTTTAATCGTTATTTTGAATTGTGTTTTGGGATTGTTTTAAATCGTTTATATTGAATCGGAAATTTAAATAGAAAATAATATTTCAATTATTTTCAATCGGAACCAAGTTTTTTGTTTCTATCGATCTAAATCGAAAAATATTAAACTGAGATTTCAATCGGTTTTAATCGACGTTTTGACACTATTATATTGAGGAAAATAATGAAGATAGGTCAATTCCTGTACGTTAGCCCAAACTAGATTCTGGTTACCTATTTACTTTTGCGTGTTTTGCAGACCAGCGCATTCTTTAATTTTCTTTGTGAGAACCAAAAAGGTATTTAAATTTAAGGTTAGGTCATCTGTCAAATTAATATTTCGCTGTCGGAAAATATTCCAACTGTTTTTTATTTAAGTATTTATTTTAAACTTATTTAAGATACCAACTTTGTAAAAAAATATAAAAAACAAACGCGTTAATTGTCATTGGAGCCAAGCTCCCAGTGCTTGCCTGATATAATAATATTTTGTTATGAATCACCTTTTTATTAATATCCATTTTAGAAATTCACCATAATAAACATTTTGATTGGCTACAAGACTTTTATGCTTCACAGCAGTATAAAAGTCGATTGGCCACTAGCGAAAACGTGCCTACTACGCGCAAAATTTTGATTCTGGTGAATTGCTAAATAACGAACCTGTCATTTTGACTGCTGTTATTGTGGCATCTGTGATTTTAACAGCTTTTATTTTGGCTCCTGTCACAATGTCTGTTCTATCCTTAGGTTCTATCTCATGCTAAAAATAGTAATCATCACTGCAACACTGCACAGAGTTTAACGGCGGCCATTTTTGTTGTTTACAATTCTTGTGCTTTGGGTTTGTGCTTCTTACAAAGGCACTTGTAAGCCTCAAATTAAGTGCAGACAACCATTTTACTCCTCGTTTATAAAAAATATATCTTATTCTATCATGGCTGTCAAATGTCAATTTGAGGGTTAATTTGTGGGTTATAAATTACCCTTAAAATTGACATTTGACAGTTTTATGACAGCCCTGACAGAATAAGCTTTATTTTTTACAAGAGGAGTAAAATGGTTATTCTTAGCACTTTAAGGCGTCTTTTAAGGCTAACAAGTGCCTCTGTAAGAAACACAACGTTTAAAACGATTAATAATCTGTATAAACAGAGCACAAACCCAAAGCACAAAAATTGTAAACAACTTAAATGGCCGCCGTTAAACTCTGTACAGTGTTGCAGTGATTTTTAGTATTTTTAGTAAGAGATAGAACAGACCTTGTTGTGTGGATTGTGGACACATGTTATTTTAACAGTTGTTATTCGGCACCTGTCATTTTGACAAGAAATTGACGAAATCGAACGTCGATTAATTCAATAGTTTCAAAATTATCATCCAACTGGAATTAATTCAACACAATTGAAATTGAACGTCGATTGAAATTTAACTTATCACACGTAACTTAACGTATTCAAAAGTTGGGTCCGGCTCTACTTAAGGAAATACGTTTGTTACGTGAGCCAATCACATGCCCAGTAAAACGATATAGTAGTGTTGCCGTCATGACTAACACATTCTAGACTCTTGTCTTGTCTAGAATATCAAGACCAGACCGTCAACATATCTTTTTTAAGTGTATCAAGACAAGACAAGACCTTAGCCAAAAATCTTGATTATAATCAAGACAAGACAAGACTTTAAGCCAAAACTCTTGATTATTTTCAAGACTAGATTAAATTTAACTTTTTAAAAAATATTAAAAACACTTCATTTAATATTATTTTTTTATTAAGAAGATTATATACAGGGTGTCCGGGAAAAGGAGGTCAATCCGTTAACCATATATTCCTTGAGTTAAAACAATAAGACTTTCATAATACCATTTTTCAATTTAGAGCTTCATGTTCGATATACAGGGCGACAAAGTTTGAAATTTAAAACTGATTTTTTTTAATAATTCGAGTAATTAATAAGATATTAAGTTTAAATTCGGTACACTACTTCAACATAAATAGTTACATTTTTGGAGACCAACTAAACAAAAAACAATTGTCAAATAATCAAAATAGGGGGGTCCAGTACTCACTGACTCCCCCTATTTTTTTAGTACGAGCGCCAATGACTTCCAAAAGGTATTTTTTCAGTTAATCATTTATTGTTAAAAAAAATTTGTCTCTTATAAAATTTTGATAAAATGATTTGTTTTAGAGATAATTTGTAAAGTATGGGTCAGTCCATATCAAATCAACCAAAGGTTCTCCCCCACCATCTCCGATTTTGATAATTTTTGGTAAATTTGTTTCACTAAAAATCTCAAAAATCCCATATATGAATTTTTTTCGATAGGTGGCTTTTGTTTTATTGATTTTTAAAAATCAAAAAATTCCGATAAATTTGGCTCTTGCAAGTACTTACAAAAATAGCGATATCTCGTAAACTATTAAAAGTAGAAAGGTGAGTGGTGGCTTATGTTAAAGGCCTATTAGAGACCTTTTTTTGATATATCACATGACCTAATTTTTTTCAAAAAAAAAAAAATTAAATTTTGAAAATTTCATATGGACTGACCCATACTTTACAAATTATCTCTAAAACAAATCATTTTATCAAAATTTTATAAGATACAAAAAATGTTCAACAATAAATGATTACCTGAAAAAATACCGTTTGGAAGTCATTGGCGCACGTACTAAAAAATAGGGGGAGTCGTTGAGTACTGAACCCCCCTATTTTGTTTATTTGACAATTGTTTTTTGTTTTGTTGGTCTCCAAAAATGTAACTATTTATGTTGAAGTAGTGTACCGAATTTAAACTTAATATCTTATCAATTACTCGAATTATTAAAAAAAATCAGTTTTAAATTTTAAACTTTGTCGCCCTGTATATCGAACATGAAGCTCTAAATTGAAAAATGGTATTATGAAAGTCTTATTGTTTTAACTCAAGGAATATATGGTAAACGGATTGACATCCTTTTCCAGGACACCCTGTATATATTTTATTGAAATCTTGGGCTTATTTTCTACTTATATTTGGGGCTTATCTTGGTCTTATTTTCTAGATATATTTAAAACTATTTTTGCCAATAACCTTATTAAGGGTTTTTTCCTTATGTTGAGTTGTCTTTGAAGTAGATTGTTGTTGAAGTACGTGAAGTTGATGGCTTAAAATCGATTGTTGCTGTGGTGATACTGTTGGTTAGCAAAAAACACTTTCATTATCACTACCTGAAAAATCGTCTGGTCCAGGCTCATAACTTTTATATTCATCTATCGAATCACACGTAAAAGGATCTTCCACTACTTCTTCTTTAAAATTATTATTATCATTTGGCAGTTGTACTTGCGATGGTTTTTATCTGCTTTGCAAGTACAGGATAATTTTATATTTTAAAATACTTCTTAGTATTAACCAGTAGTAAAACAACAAAAACTAACCTAAATAATAATAAATTTACTGCTTAATTTAGTGCAAAAGCAAAACGTAAGGGTTGTGTCTGCAGGTGGCGGAAGTGATTTGTTTTAACTGGTTCTAAAACAAGAGTGAGAGTTACATTGCGCAGACGCATAATTTATATCTAGACTCTTGAATAATAATCTAGACTAGTTAATCTAGACAAGACCGCATTAAGCTTTTTTAATCAAGACTTAGACATACACAACTCTTGTCTTGAAATTTTCAAGACAAGAGTAACTCTTGTCTTGTCTTGTCTAGACGGCACCACTAATAGATAGATAGGCACCCAGTCAACATCGATGTATACATTGCGCGTGCTTGTATATTACGTTCTTTGCGTGTATTAAGTTAATGTAATTAGACAACTTAACAGACGTAGGTTTCTTAAGTTAAGTTAAGTTACGCTTATTAAGTGGATGTGAATGAGCTTTTAGCCTCTTGGCGATTTTTCGGCATAACCGTTGAGTAAGGTATCAATGCTATGACTTTGTCTATCTTTCGAATCTTACATAATCTTTATAGCATTGTAATAAAAAAATCATTTTTTTTTATCGGAGAAAGATTTGTATCTTAATTTCCGATTTTATTAAACACACAGAAAAAACGCTAGCGAAGCATGAATGGGTGAGCCATTAAACCAATGGGATCTTGTAATCCGTATTCCTGAATAACAGTTCCTATAATACCAATAGGTAGTTAGCACTTGGTTTATAATCGTTTACTGTTTTTAAATTAACAACAAAAGTTATCGCTCCTAAATCTATTGATATTCATATTCATATTTATTTGTTAGAATGTTAGAATGTTATTGCATTAAATACTAATTTGATTTATTTAATAACGTTACTATTGTATGTATACTATGTATACATTTAATGCAATAAATTCTTTGACATTTAGGCAAAATATTTCCCTATTTTGGTTAAATAGTAATTAATTGAGCAAATAACAATTTAGATTGCTTCAATTTTAATGCATTCAATGACAGCGCTGTTCTTGGTACTATGTTAGATTTTTTTCTGTGCAGGATGACTCTAAGACATCGGGACTCTTCCCCGGCCACATCCGTGGACACGTGCAGCAAAATCGACGACGGCGACGACGTGGATTCGAACATGTCGCTCGAGTCGAGCATCGAGCGGCTGAAGAGCCGGCTTAACCAGCGGAAACGGAAGCGAGGCCGAGAGAAGATCGTCGACAACCTGAACGGCTACCCCAAGCGCAGACTGAGAGACGTGTCGCCTGCAAGCAGCGTGGAGCCGATCGAAAGACGGTTGCGGGGCGAAGATAGAGCCTCCGCTTCCGGAGATGAGTCGAAGAAGAGCAAGAAGTTGCCCAAATGGAAGAAGAAGCATCTTGTCGCCGGCTTGTTTTCCGATTATTACAAGGAGGATGAGTAAGTATCAATGTACATAGTTTTATTTTGGAGTGCAGTACCGAAAATCATATTCATATATGATATGCAAAGAATTGATATCTTTTAAAGTATTTTTAATTTTAAAAGGTTTATTCTTAAACTTGAAAACCTGAAAATCAGAAAAAATTATAAAACCTTGTTTTATTATACTTAACAAAAACTCCGTATTTTTTAATGATACACAAAATAACCGACGTTTTAGCAAACTATTTAAAAAATTAAAGAACATAAGGAAATGAACATTACTTATGTCAATTAAGTTTAAGTTAAAAATTTATTGCTTCAATTTTGCAAAATAGAAGCACTAAATTTTTAACTTGTATACACACTATTTTTTTATTTTTAATAATAAAATTTTTTGAATAAATTAATTTTATTAGTGCTTGTTTCAGCGTGAGTCATACTTAAATATAATTTTTTATTTTATCAATTGAAAAGAATGAAAATAATAAGTCAAAATAATTTTTTTTAACATGTTTGTTGTGTACAAGCAAATTCTGATATAATCATTGTGGCCTTTTCGGTGCGCGAAGGAAATGTTGTGTTAATTATTAGCATAAATCGAATATTTTGTCATACAATGAACAAAGCAGTTTTATTGGAGACTGTCAACTTTGAGAAAAATTGCATGTTAGTATTTTTTTTACATTTTTGTTCTACAACAGTAAAATTGGGAAAAATTATTTCGCCCTTTTTGATGATATGATATGTTAAATGGTGTATAATTTTATGTTATCTTGTTATGAAATAAAGAATTTGATAAGGCCAACCTACAAATAGATTTTTTTTTTAATTATTGTAAGCCATGTGATCGAAATGTTATGTTAAAAATCTTTCAAATTTTATATTTCATCATGCTATGAACAAAAAAGTTTTTCCAACATTAAAATTATTCTTTTTTTAACATTTTTGAAGTTCAGGAAGCCAAATTGGCAAAAATGTTTTGGCCTTTTTTGTGCGTGAACGAAATTTTTTAATAAATCTGTTAAATGACATATTTTATCTTGTGAGCAAAAAAGGTTAATAAAGAATTGCCAACACTAAGTCATTTGTGACATAGGTGAACACCTATAGGTTTTCCTTTCTAAAAAGTGGAAATGCAAAAAAAAATAATTTGGTTAAATTAAAAAACGTTTTAAACAATTTTAATTTTTACAAAAAAAAAGTGGTTTTTATCAAATAAATTATCAAAACAATTTATGACAAGGACAAGTGCCACCATTAGGGTTTTAAAATTTCCGGAAAAGTTGAACCGGCGAAAAAAAAACGTTTTTTCCGGAAAAGAATTGAAAAATTAACTTTTCCATTTTTTCATTTTATTCAAAGGGTAATACGAAAATTTACAAATTTTAACGGATACTATCCGTACACAATATCGAGAAAAATATATATTATGATTTTAATAATTATTCATTTTATTTTAATTCGGTAAGAATATTCTACCGGGTCGCAAAAAAATATATTTGGTGCTGTATTGACATAACTTTTGTTTTATTTGACACTTCGATTTATATAATTTTGAAACTTTACTTTATAAATCATTTATTATTTTGTGATTGGATATTTTCAATGGACTTCTTTTCGCAAAAAGGACCCAACCGACAGTATATTTAACGTTTACGTTTTCTCAAATCAATTTCATGCATTTCAATGTTTAGTTTTTTTTGTAAGGATATTTTTTTTAATTAAAATAATGTAAAGTTCTTGTTTTTTTTTAATTTCCCAAAAAGGACAATTTTTCCAAGGCCTGGGAAAAAAACGGAAAAACAATTTTTCCCCCAATTCTAGTGACTAAATATAGGATATTAGGATGATTCAAAAAAAACTTTTTTTTTGTTTTTTTATCGGAACCACGTTTAAAAGTTTCGTATACTTGTAGGTATAAAAATAAGCCTGTGAAGATTTTTTTTTAACTTTTTTGGCGAGTCTACCGTACTCATTTAAAAAATTTTGAAATATGTTTGTAGAGAATTGAACGCTCTACAAAAAAGGTCAAAAGTCATTTTTCGGTTAGTTAACTTGGTTAAAAGTTATTCAAGGTTAAAATGAAATTAACCGTCAATTTAGCAGTTTTCTCGAAAAAACTCCTAGATTTTTAAGTTTAAAGGGCTAAAAACGAATCGAAATATTGTTTTTGAGGTCTGTAAATTCGAAAAAACATAACTATCGATATTAATATCTTGAAAAGCTCCAAAATTTTATGGTAGGCATATTATTAAACGATTTTAGCTAAAAGTTTTTCGGAAAAACTTCTGTTACAATTTGATTGAGATAATCTTAGAATTCCAGAAAATTTAAAAAAAATGTTTTTATGTGCAAAATTAGAAAAAAAGAATAACCCTGAAAGCTATTTGTGGAATTTCCTGCTACTTTCAATTCTCTACAAAAATATTCTAAAAACTTTTAAATGAGTCGGGTAGACTCGTCAAAAAAGTTTAAGAAACCAAAAATTTCGTATAATTTACCTTAATTTACTTTAGAAAGATCAAATTTATCAAAAAATTCTCTACAAAAATATTCTAAAAACTTTTAAATGAGTCGGGTAGACTCGCCAAAAAAGTTTAAAAAACCAAAAATTTCGTATAATTTGACCTTAAATTACCTTAGAAAGATCAAATTTATCAAAAAATCATAAGAAACCTTTTTTGTAGAGCGTTCAATTCTCTACAGTACGACCTATCGTTCGTTAGTTACAAAAATCAGAAGAAACAAAAATAATTTTTCCCATGTTATTCTTATCAAAAATTGAAAAGTACGATGCGGAGCATCTTAATTTTGAAATTAGGAGCTCATCTCTTCACAGGCTCATTTTTATATCTATACAAAACTTTTCAGCGTGGTTCCGAGAAAATTGCATTTCCAATTTTTATAAAGGGAAACGTTACTTCTACAAGTTCCCTATATTTAATTAAAACTTGATTTATTTAGCTAATTTTAGGGATTTTGAGTTATCTCATAATCTCCAAAATTACCTACTTGTTAGATTAACACGGCGATATTTTCTCTTTGTAGCGAGGCAGCTAGGATTCGCCGCACAGAGAACGCAGCCAAATCCCGTCTGGTCTACAACCCGGAAGAACATCCGTTCGGTCTTCTGCCGCCGCCGTACCACTGCGGCAAGTATTTGCGATGCCGAAAACTTCCCTTTCAACTTCCGCACGACCTTTGGTGGCAGCACACGCACTCGCAACTTCCAGGTCGCGATCTGGTGCCCTCTTGGAACTACAGGAAGATTCGCACCAACGTGTACAACGTGAAGTTGACCACGGGTGCCTGCGAACCGCAGTCCTGCAACTGCAAGACCACGAATTGCGGCGATGACTGCATCAACAGGTGAGATATAGTTTTAAAAAATATTACTGTTATGCAAATGGCAAAATGCAGAAAATAAAAAAACAATAAATGTTCACTAGTAAGTAACAATAAAACATAAGTTAAAATCGTGTTCATCCATCTAATTTAAATGAGCAACAGGAAATGCAAAAATAAATAAAATTACCTAAAATTAAATTTAGTAACTTCCCCACCAATAAAAAAAAGTTAAAATAAGGTTTTGATTACTTTGGATTGTTTATTTACAGCACTGAGCCCAAGAAATAATTAATAAGTCAAAAATGAAATGAAAAATCAAAAACTAATATATTTTAAGAATAGCTTAAATCAGGCTCATGAGCTTGTTTTAAAGTTTAGCTCACTTTCGCTCACTCGTTTATAGTAAACTATAGCATGAGATACAAAAATCCATACAAAAAATATTATCTACAGGGTGTTATGGAAAACACTTTGGTAATCTTAGGATATCAATCAGTAAGTCGTTTGGATCACAAAATGTTGGATGCACTTAGGTCAATTCTGGATTTTTAATTTAGTCAAACGTTATAATATCATTAATGAATTTAACTCACTTTCTTTATTTAAAATAAGCAGTTTTAGCACTAATATAACAAGAAAAGAGAACAATATAAGAAAAGCACAAACAAAAATATCCAAGTAAAGTACAACCATAATAACAAGAACGTAATATAACAATAAAATAACAAATAACAATAGAGTTTAAATTTTACCTTTTACTCCCCTGTTATAATAAAACTATAAAGGTTGTTTTATTTTTACCTACTGAATTATATTTGGAACCCAAATTGCTAAATTTTGTACACGAGTTTTATTTAAAAAAGTCACTCTTTTTGAATTAATTCAGACTTTCTAATTCAATACATTTTACAGAATACACTCAAACATTGAACATATTTCTTTTATTTGAATAATTGTGTTATTTTTTGTAATAATTTTGTCATAATTTTTTAATTAATTATTTAAATAAATTATTTATTATTTTATTAGCTGCTACTATGGGTGCTGTAATGAGTATTTTTCAGTCATAATACTACTTTTTTTTTTTTTTTTTTTGAATATTTTTAATAAAATGACATTAAAAAGTTATTTTAACCATATACACTATGAAAAAAGCATATTTTTTGAAAAATAATTTAAATATTGATTTTTGTCCCAAAACCCTATTTTTGTCTGCACTGTGCGTCTTTTCTGCTGTCCTTGACTTTTGAGACACCCTGTATACTAATTTGAATAATTGCAAATCAAAAAAAAAATTGGCTCCCCTGTGGCAAACAAAAAAATTACAATTTGTTGACAAGGCTTTCCAACTTTATTCTGAATAGGGCCCTATTCAGACCATTATTTTATTTTAAATTAAAAATGGGGGGTTAAAAAATTGGCCTTTGTTTGAAAAAATAATACTTGTTTAAAAATCCATCACAGCAGTGACTTATTTTGACAATATTTTTTTTCAACAGGCTGGTGCTTGCCGAATGCCCGCCGTACCACAAATGCCAAAACCAGCGCATCCAAAAACACGAATGGTCGCCAGGTTTGGAAAAATTCATGACCGAATCCAAGGGCTGGGGTGTGAGAACCAAAATGCCCATTAGAAACGGCGATTTTATCCTGGAATACGTCGGAGAAGTGGTGTCCGATCAAGAATTTAAAGAACGCATGGGCACAATTTACGTGAACGATAACCATCATTATTGTTTACATCTGGATGGTGGTTTGGTGATCGATGGTCACCGCATGGGCGGCGACGGTCGATTCGTTAACCACAGCTGTCAGCCGAACTGCGAAATGCAGAAGTGGAGTGTCAACGGGCAGTTCCGGATGGCGTTGTTCGCACTCAGGGACATACAGGACGGCGAAGAGTTGACTTACGACTATAACTTCTCGCTGTTCAACGCCGCCGAGGGTCAGGAGTGCAAGTGCGGGAGCGAGGAGTGCCGCGGCGTCATCGGCGGGAAATCGCAACGCGTTCGCCAACTCGCCAAACCGCATCAACAACCCGGTCGCGTAGGACGACCGAGGAAGACCGAAGCGAAAAAGAAGACCAACCAATCGTCGAAGGAGGTTCCGCAGGTAAAGATTTTCAGATTTGAAAAAAACATTAAAAAAAATGTTTTTTTTTCGTTTTTTTCAAATGCGTTACAATAAAGCTATTCTATCAATAAATAACATCAATCTAAAAAAATTGAGTATTTTTTGAGCAAAATATATTTTAATAATAAAATGAAATGAGGCATACACTGCAAAAGCGGCCTAACTAAAATTATTTTGTGGTTTTATCGTAAGTAATATCATAAGGGCATTTAATTTGTCCGAAAAGAATCGAAAAAACACGTTGCTAAGTATTATTTTAACAAAAAGCATGAGTGCTGGTGGCAACAAAAATCCGAGTCGAAAAGGAGGATTTTTGCACCTGCACGAATGCATTTTGTTAAAAAATATTACTTAGCATTTTAATTTAATGAGACTATTTCATGAGTAATAGTTAACAATTAAAATTAAAATTAAATTGCAATTTTTGGTGACAACAGCTGTCAAGTTTTGCCGCGGGTAAACTCGAAAAAACTGCTGACAGGTGCTGTCACACAGTTTTTTCACCTAGAACCATTTGAAATTCAAAATTGCGCGTTTGTGATTGGTAGAAATTAAGACGAGGGAAATAGTCGACTATAATTATAATGTATACACAATAGCTTATTTTTAACCGGATAAATTTTTGTTTTCCTTAAAAGCTTGTTACCTAGCTATTTGACAAGAAAAAATGTAATTAATCAATGATTTTGTCAGATGGCATTTTTTCGAGTCAAATTGCTAAAAGGTAATAAGTTTAAAAGTTAGAAAACATAAATTTATCTTGCCAGAAAAAAAAGCTCCAGTGTAATTCGACGAAATAATTTTGTGATTAATTGATGATTAAGTCTCTTTTTTAAATTTATTTAAATGAACAATTAGTAAATGAACAATTATTATAAATAATTCTCGATGTAGAGGTAGAAGATAGCTCCAGTGTATTATTTTCTTCAATAAAATCTGTAATGCTTGCATTTTGAATGTTGTTTTCATTGTTTGACTGACAGGCAATTTTCATATCATTTCGTAAATTTGAAACTATTTCTTTATGATGTGTTGCATCTATTTGTAAATATGGTTTTAAAGAATTGCTATTAGAATGGCCAGTTAATTTAATGAGTTGTTGGTCGCTTACTCCCGCTTTAGCTAATTCGGATACAGTACTGGCTCGGTTTGAATGGTTTGTTATTTTGATCTTTTTTGTGTCGAGTCCAATTGCAGTTGCTGAGATTTGCGTCCATTTTGAGATTATGTTTTTAACCAAGGGCATGTTTTTGTACCAACCTTTAGAATTTTGTTTATTCCAAAATGGTTTTGGAGTAAGAAACATACGATCTGATGTTATGTATTTAGATCTTTTTTCCAGAAGAACTTTAAATAGTCTTACTGGACAATTGCTTGGATCTTCCTCATTTTTTAAAATCCATTTACTGTCACTTAATCTTTTAGATCCTCCTTGTGCAGTCTTAAAAAACACTGGATTGTATTCAATTCTGCCTGTGAGCATCCCATCATTGGTTTTTTCTTCACTAAAATAATACAACATGCATGCTGCTGCTTCTCCACCTCTCCATGCTATGGATGCTAATATGGAAGAATCTTTTTTGTAAACCTTCTGGTTCATTTCCTTTCCATATCTTAGCCATTTTTATAATTTCCTCTTTTGTGAGAGCATTTGAACTTCTTTTTCTGGTTTCCGGAATTCTTTTTAACTCCTTTCTTTTTGCATTTCTAGCATCACGGGCCTCTTTGAATACAATATCGGAAAATGGATTAATTTTGATATTAAAATCTTGATAGTATTTCTCTTGAAGCATTTTTGCCGTTGAGTTCCACATAGTTTTGGTAACGTATTCCTTATAATCATCTCCATTAATTTTTTTCATATTGTATACGAATTTAATTTAGGCACGAGCGAGCTTGCGAGCGAGTGCTTAAATTAATGAGTGTATAGAAAAGTTTATAAACGAGTTGCATACTATACTTTTTCTACGACAAATACTTATTATCTTAAAATGATTTAAATCAAAAATTTGTATAGAGCGCCATCTATGAAACAATTTGTGTGTCACCGTCAAATGTCACATTTTTATTATTTTATAAACACAGATTATAAAGGTTATCGAAATCGAATAAACACATCATATATTTTTGCTTTTGCAACTAAAAACAAAAAATTGAAAAACTACAACAGCCAATAGAAAACAACAACTAAAATAATATTTTTAATAAAATGGTCTTTAAATGGTCTCTGTTTAGAGATGTAAAAAAACGGTTTTTTTTCAGATGTGAAAAAAAACATGAAAAAAAAACTAGAAAAAAAAACGGTTTTTTTTTGTTTTTTTCAAAATAAAATTTTGAGTAAAATGTAGAATATATTACATTTTTCATTATTGAAAATTTTGACGAAGACTAAAAAAATCTGATTTCTTATTATTTGGTAGTTTCCACATTAAAAACCAATAGTAATGTAAAACTTCTACACTAATACAAAAAATTAAAGGATAAAAAGTTGTTTTTGCGATTTTTCGGATAGCTGGATCTTTGTTAAAAATGGTCGTATTGGAGTCGTAAAAAAAGCAATTTGAAGCTTGAAGTTTATAGTTTTGAGATTTTTAGATGATAAACGTGCAACGCTCAATTCTAACGAATACCGTATTAAAAAAATCGATTTTTTTGCTTTCTTTTTTGGTCCACGGAATGTTCTGACCACCAATGAATTTGCTATTGTTTTTTTTTTGAAAAAAAAATTTCCATACTCTACATAAATTTGAAAAATCATGAAAAAAGTGCTTTTGGTAGCTTTTTGAAAAATCAAGCGCTGAATCAAAAATATTATATGTAGTTACTTTTTTAGGACCAAATCAAAACAAGACTGTATTTACATTTACTAATTGTGATTTAGTGGCTAATTTTAGTCCATGGAAACATAAAAAATTAGGCAAATGGGACTAAAAAAACCTAAAATGTGAAAAAAACCATTTGAAAAAAAAAAAACAAAAAAAACGGACCGTTTTTTTTCAAGTCGCATCTCTATCTCTGTTGCGCAAATATTTAAACAAAAATACTAGTTTTCCAACTTTCCATCGAAAATTCCCGAAATTTTCCGAAAGTTTCAAAAAAAATTTTTTATTGCCAAAATATTTTTTTATGCCAGGGATTTGCAAAAATATATAACACATTAACTTTTTGTCAAATTTTATTAAGAAAAAAAAATTAAAAAAATGTTTATAAGAATGTAAAGTTACAGTTCTGCAATACTATCTTTAGTTTCTTTTACTTTGGAATATTCCTATTGTATACTGAAACCTACAAAATAAAAATAAAATGTTTACTATTAGAAATTCACAGCTAGTAAATCCTAGATATTACGTAAAAAAATTAAAAGGGACAAAGTAACTAATATATAGGAATATTAAAAAGTAAAAAGTGAAGTAAAAAATAATTCCAAACACTAGATTTTTTTCTTGGCATTGTGCTATGCCTATAAATAAACAAAAAAAATGTAAGAATGATTTTAACTTTGTTTATTGTTTTTATTTGGTTTACCTTTTTTTTAAAAAGTTTTTTGTGATGATGCTGAATAATCCGGCTTCATTGAGGTTATGTAACATAACTTACATTATTTATACGCCGCGTCTAGAGTCCCGTCAGACGGTTCTCTATTGCGCTCCCGTTAACAGAGTGACGTCATCAAATGACGCAATCTTAGGACGGGAAGCAGATCTTCCTTAATCAACGTCCCGAGTCCGCCCGCTTCAAAACCAACCCAAACCCAACAACCCAACCCAACCGACCCCGCCCCATTGGCCCCCCCCCGCCCCATTGAGTAAAAATTTTTCAACGAAGGAATATTCATTTAATTACATTTTATATTATATAACTAGCAAAATGATTATGAGGAAAGGTAAATAAATTAAAATATTAATGTAAAATGAAATATAAATGCTTTTAAGGCCACATTGTATTATTTCGGTATATAAATTCTTTAAAAAAAAATTAAAAAAAGTTGTAGACGCGCGAAGTATCGAACCCCGTACCTCTCGCATGCAAAGCAGGCGCCCTTCCATCGAGCTACCGAGCTTATTGTAATAATTGTATCGCTCGAAAAATAATACCTATTTACAGTGTGTGACGTCACAAAGTTTTAACGGGAGCGCAATGGAGACCCGTCTGACGGGACTCTAGACATTATGTTATTTATACTTCTTCTTCTGCTTTAAATTAACACACCTTTAAATTAACACATTAAATTCTTATTCAAAGTTTCTTGGCCTTGTATCATGGCCTTAACGAAAATCAGCGGTTAAACAATTGACATTTAAATGAAAAAAACAAGGAATGTTTCCGGTAGCTTAAAAGAAACTTTCAAAATGGAAACTTTTCGATTCCCATCTCTAGCTTTTTCACATTTATACTTCAAGTCACATCTCTATCCGCAGGTGCAGCAAACGGTACAAGTCGCGCCTCCGGTCCACGTGAAACCCGTCAGTCACCAGCAGAAGTGCTTCATCGTGGAGCACCACTGCTTCCTGCTGCGCAATCTCGGCAAAGTTCGCAAGGTTCGCAACGCTGCCGCTCCCGCCGCGGACGTTCAGCAGGGCGGCGGTTCGGCCTTCCTGAATCAGCTGAAGGCGCTGCAGAAGCCGCGCAACATGCGCACCAGGAAGTTGGCGCAGGCCGAGGAGGATCCCGAGCTGAACAAGACGGTCAAGTTGGCCGCCGTGCTTAAGGAGATCTGGGGGTCCGTTATTTCTGCCAAGGGTAAGTAAAAAATCATGTCCATAAACTCAGTTTTTGCTAACTTTACATTCAAAGTTATTTAGTCGCTAATTAGTTGTAAAATAGTATATTGTTTTCCGAGCTTTTAATCATAACAATTACTTCCGATGATGAAAGTTTTCAAGCGAGTCGATAGGCGAGTGAAGGAATTCATTGAGAGAGTTATTGCGATTCCACTCGAGGTACTATACTGTTTTTTCGAGTGTTGCTAAATTTTTAACGCTTAAACATATTATTTCTTGTTGACTATACTTTGACAGATATTCTTCTTCTTCTTTCTTTCTAATTTCGGTATTTTCAACCTTGGTGCTTGGAATCTAGTCCATGTGACCATATGCTTGTTTTAACGTCTCACGGCTTCAGAAAGAACTACCTCCGCCATTTGACAATGTGGAAATTTCAATCTTGAAACATCCATTCAATCATTTATACAATTCACAAAATACCTCACTAAAAGATCAAAGCTTGCGATATTGTTAAAAAATACAGGTATATTTCTACACCGGGAATCCAATTTTGTACCCCCCGGTTCGCAAAGTCAGCTATGTTTCACACTTTTCATCGAGCGATGCGCAGCCCACGGCGTACAAAACCGAACCTTGACAGATATAAAACCTGAAAAGCTTTAAATGCCAAATTTTCAAAAGACTGCGTTCCGTACGTAGTCACGTGGTGAGACTTTGAGGTGTGGAGCATAGTACGTCACTGATTGAGTAGGAACTTTAGGCTAATCTGATTGCCTAATTTAATTTATTATGTTATGGTTGGTAACAACCAACGTTTCCATATTCAGTCAAAAAAGTTTTGTTAATTGTTTATTATGTCATTTTTGTAATGAAGGTAAATTCATCTTTTAGTAACAATTTTTTACAACTGGCAACGCGCAGCTACTTTGTTGGTTGCAGGGCTCCCACACCTCCTAAAATTCATAAAATTCCTAAAATTTGGCTTAAATCTTAAAAACTCCTAAAATTGCCATCAATCTCCTAAAACTCCTAAAAATTAAATATAAGTAGGCCAACTTGACTGCGTTTAATTAAGGTAGTTGTGCTAAAAAATTTCTTTTTAAAAAGTAATTTAAAAAATATATGTTTTTGGGTTCTAGTTTATTAAATTCTTTTTAAAATGATATAGGTATCACAACCTACATTTTTTACAAACAACAAAATATTCCATAAAACAAAATCCATGTAGTAGCTTCTAGACTTCTACAAAATTGTCATTTTTAGCCATATTTCGTTAATTTTCGACAAAAATATACCGTGTTATATATCAAACCAAAGGACTTTTAATTTTCTTTTAAATGATAGCTAAAATAGTAAACAATCTAAAGAATGTGTTGCTGTATCATGTACTTTATATTTTTTCTATTATGAGATTTTTTAGTAACAATAAAATTATTGTTACTTAGTTATTAACTAAACTGTTAATTTTTTTTTTCAAAATATAAATATAACATCATTAAACTTTGGCCTACTTTTTTTAGCCATATCTATCGACGCTTTTTTTTTTTAAATAAAATTAAAAGTGTGGTGAAATTTCTACTTGTAGATATATACAAAAGTAGTAATTTTACCTCACTTTTCATTTTATTAAAAAAAAAAAACTCGTCGAGCGATTTGGCTAAAAAACTAGTCAATATAACTATTTTTGTTAAAAAGAATTACTTATTGTTTTCTTATTTTTTATGTACAGTGTAGAGTTTTTTTATTTAATTAAATAAATTCATTTGCATACTTTTTTCTCCTAAAATTCTCCAAAAAACCTCCTAAATTCCTAAATAAAATTTGTAATTTAACCGTGGGAGCCCTGTGTTTGGTATCTATGTACTCACAGAACACAAGTGTGTAACCTGTGGCGTATCATAAAAAAAATAAAAATTCATTATAATTAGAACCAATAAAATGCCAGTATTCCATAGTTACGCATTTTATCACATCGACAATATTTTTTATCACCTTGTTTACACGTTGCTAAAGATTTTGACACTTCTTGATTTGACATTTGTTGACATTTAAATACTGTGTTTGTTAAATGATTAAAATAATGAATTATAAACTCTAAGGGCCGGTTTTTCAATCGTTGGTTAAGTTTATCTTATGGTTAACTTTCTTAGATACTATTGTGTTAACAATAGTATGTAAGGACATTAACCGTAAGATAAACTTAACCAACGATTGAAAAACCGGCCCTAAAAGATAGATGGGTTGGTGTAAACGATAATAAAATTAAGGTAAGATTGAATAAATAAGGTTTATTAAAGTCTTTTTATATTTTAAAGCACATTTTAATTTCGAATTTTAAACTGACAATTCGTTGAATCGTAAAATTCATTATATTTTCTCACTAAATATAACTCGTGGTATGATTAATTATCGATGATATTTACTCATTGAAACCGAAGCAGCACATTTCACTCGTCCTGCGGACTCGTGAAATCTGCAGCTTGGTTTCAATTCGAAAATATCATCTATGATAATCATACCACTTGTTATATTATGTGATAAACACAGTTACTTTACAAGGCAAAATTTCCAATATTATATATCATTTTCAATTTCAAACTCAGGAAAAAAAAGAGTTACTCAAACTGCCCTTAAATGGTTCAACGATCTCCCAGAACAAATTAGGAACCAAAAGAATCTAAAAAAATTTTCTTCTCTGGCTCAATAAGAAATAATAGATAATAAATCTTTCTCTGTGTAAATGCTGTGATATTTTTAAATTATTTTATATCTACTTGTAAATAATTTATATTTGTTATTTGTTATTTAATAAAAAAACTAACTGCTACTAAAGTACCTGATATGGAATCCTGTATTCTTTTAAGGTTTAATAAATAAATTAAAAAATACCTTATGTCAAAAGGTATTCAATATTTTAATATATTACACTATTACATAATACCCTGTAGATGGTAGAACTTGAGCACTAAGTAATAAGAAGTAAAAACGTAAAAATAGATTTTAGAATATTACCAAACCAATGTAAGCATTATTATATTTCCAGACGAGAAGGGCGAAGTAATAAGCACCGCGTTCATGACGATGCCTTCCAAACGCAAAGTGCCCGACTACTACGTGAAAATAACCGATCCCATCGATCTGAGCACGATAGAGCAAAACATCGAAACCGGAATCTACAAAACGCCCAACAATTTCGACGAGGACATGAACAAGCTGTTCGCCAACCACATCAAGTTTTACGGTAGGACAAGTGACGTGGGAGTTGCCGCCACCAAATTGAAGAAGGTTTACACTGATGCCAAACAGCAGAGCCTGCACAAGTTCGAGGATGCTTTGGGCAAGAAGCCGCCCATGGCGTTTTCGAAGAAGAAAAGCAGTAAGTATTTATGAATTTGGAGATTTTTGTGTTTGGAATTTTAGTAATATATTTATTAACATCTAAAATCGTGTTACCATGAATGTTTATTAATATAGATTCTTGATGTTTTTGTTAAATTCAAATAAAAACGACGCCAATAATGATGTGGAATAGAGAATCTCTATTAAGGAAAACAATGCTTCTGAATAAAAATAAATTTTCTCTTTTACTCATAACCGTGCGGGAAGTTGCACTTTTCTGCTCGCTTGACAGTGCTAGTTTTACGACGTATATATAAACTGTACTAACTAATTAATTTCTAAGTAATTTCTTTCGTTTAAATAATGAATTATGTAAATTTCCATTTATAGTATTTTTTAACCTTATTTTATTTTCTGTAAAGATGAAGAAGAAGATATCATCCGATGCATTTGTGGCATGCACCGCGACGAAGGTCTGATGATTCAATGCGAGAGGTGCATGGTTTGGCAACATTGCGAGTGCGTTAAGGCGGACGCCTCGGCGCCCAGTTATCACTGCGAAATTTGCGTCCCGCGTGAAGTTGACTACGAAATACCTTTGGACGAGTACACGGAACATGGCCATAGGTAAGAAAATATATTATTATATAAATAATTAGATTAGTTAATTTAAAAATTCTGTTACTGTCTAAAAATATATTAAATAATATAAGGGTGATTCTACAAAAGTTTGGCAACTTTTGACCTCATTTTGTTTATATAGTTTTCTGAAAAAATTATGCTGTTCTGAGAGGTGATTTTTGGACTTTCTGTGAAACCTAATTTTTTTATATTCTTGTTAATTAGGTCATAACTAAAATTTTAAGAGCAAAATAAAAAAAATTTGACGGTTAATTTTGTTTTAATTGGATATTTATTAAAAATATGTATGCACACTTTCAATTCTCCAATTAAAACTTGCGATTTTATTTAAATCAGATTAAAGATTAGTTAATTTCCTAAAAAAAGGTCTATACATTTTTTATATATTTTACTGTTTTGTTTTAATACACGTTTAAAGTTTTAATTTAAGGTTAAATGTATAGTATACATTTATTAAACAATAATTCTAAGGGTGCCACATTTTATTTAGGGCCGATTTATTCATTTTTAATTTATTTGACGAATAATTTCTTTGGATACTAGATATTGCCAAGACTAAAGATGAATAAACCGGTCCTTAGTTAAATTTCATGAATTTCTTCGTAACTTTTACTACAATTTTTCATTTTTGTTTATAAAAAACACTTTAAAAAGCTAAACAAAAATTATAGAATACGTATACTGAAAATGACAATTCAAACCATAAAAAAAGGATATAGGATAGGATTCAAACGTCAAATAAATTTTTAATAGATCTAAGTTTCATGGCAACCTTTAAGGATATATTAATTATAATTATAAGGGAACATAAATGTATACGTCAAAGGTTAGATTAAAAGTTTGAACGTTTATTGCAACAAAACAGTAAAATATATAAAAAAAATTGTAAAAACCTTTTCTTTAGTTATGCAAATATTAAATATTTAAATTAAATCGCTAGTTTTAATTGGATAATTGAAAGAGTGCATAATATTTTTAATAAACAGACAATTAAAACAATTCAAACCGTCAAATTTTTTTTATTTTGCTCTTAAAATTTTTGTTATGAGCTAATTAACAAGAATATAAAAAAAAATTAGGTTTCACAGAAAGTCCAAAAATCACCGCTCAGAACAGCACCGTGAGTATTTTGTTATGAGAACTTAGATAATGTAATAAATATACTGTTCCAGACCGGACCAGTCACTTTTTCAAACAGTTTCTGAAATATCTGTGTTTTCTAAATTTGAATGCAAGGAAAGTGATGAGTATACCAGGGTACTAATTAAATACATAATTTACTGAAAAATATAAGATTTATTGCAATTTTGAGCATATTATACATTAAATATCTTAAAATCAAATAATACCACAAATCAGTGGCGGCTGCTGGATTTTGGGTATACCGATATCTCAATTATTAAATATGGGACCCACACCAAATTTATATGAGTTTATAATGACATTAAATAAACAAGTTCTGCGCAAGCAGAATTTAAATTGCAGTTTGCAAAAAAAGATAACCGAAACATCGAACATGGAACTGACGACACGGTACTGATGAATGGGATACAAATTTGAGATTATAATTCGGAATTAATTATTTTACTGATATTTTTTATTAGTTGATGCTACTTATCAACAAATCACATATAGCCTTATATAAATTACAATTAAATATATATACATAGGAAAATAACTGAGGAGTGATTTTTCAAAAGGCCTTATTTCCATTTTTACTTGAATGTAATTTTTGACAAAATCCCAAAGTTATGGTTAAAAGACATACATTAACGGCGAAATATGACAGCAGGTCTGAAGTATTATTAAATATTCATCAGAATTTTTTTTTTAATAATCTATAGGTATTGCCCTAACCTATACAGGTTATAGTAATTTTTTTGAAAAATTGTTGCAAATGGAAATACGACCTTTTGAAAAATCACTCCTCAACTACTCACCAGAGTACTGAAATTTTGACTGGAACTATACGTGCATTCACCACAACTTCGCCGCTTGCATTGTTTTCAAGATGAATGTCGTGCAAAGGGCGGGCTCTGTAGGTAATTTTTTACCAACACTCGAGTTAAAACGAGGACTTGACGTTTAAACTTCAATATTTCGCAGGAATTTTAAATTTTAACATTGGACATAGAACTGACAGTTAAAAGTGAGTACAAAGATTATCAATTTTTTTTTAAAATTGCTATTATTTGAATCTATGATAAAATATGAAGAATACATTATTTAATGTTTTATAGTTTGTAGTGAAATTGAAAAATTTAAGATAAATTGAATATATTTTAAAATAAAATCACTCAAATATTTGATTCAGGAGTTGTGACACGCCAAGGTACTGATGTTTTGAATATTTATTATGTTTTTCTACAAACGTGCTTTTTAAAAAATACATTAAAATTGGGTGGACAAGTTAAAAAAACCTGGATCTTTTGTAATATACTAAAATATTTACAAAAAATATTAAAATACCTACTCTATTGACTGATGACATCAAGTTGTCCAACTATTGTAGAATCACCCATTTAACATATAAATTTTAAAAACATAAAAATTATTTGGTAGTTTTTAAAAGAAAATGATAATTTAACCAAATTTTTCTTAGGTATTACTTGACCTTGATGAGAGGCGATCTTCAACTTCGGCAAGGGGATACAGTTTACGTTTTAAGAGATATTCCAATACCTAATTCTGACAAGAAACACACCTATGATACCATCGGGAAAATTGAGTACTCTGAACTAGATATCTTTAGAATTGAAAGGTTGTGGAAAGATTCCAAAACTGGGAAAAGATTGGCTTATGGTCACCATTATTTAAGACCCCATGAGACTTACCATGAACCAACCAGAAAGTAAGTAAAAATTAGGGTTTTAAGTTTTGTAAAAATATGGTTTTTGTCCAAAATTTATTGTAAGTCATGAAATGAAGTTTGTAAATTTTTCTTCTATGAGCATTTTTTCAATTTTATAGTGTCAAGTGTCCAAATTGGGTAGAAGGTGACAAATACAAAAAGTTTTAAATGTTTAAAAAATTACTAATGTTATATTAGTGATATATTAAGGCGTGTAAAAATTATAAGCCTAAATATATTTAGGAATGTTAAAAACACATATTTTAACGTCACATGTTAAAATGTTTGTAATAGATTATTGTCAATAAGTCGAATTTATTTTTTTTTAAACATGATAGAAATTGTTTTCTTATAAACCTAAATAAACTTTGTTTTACACCATTGAGCTTATTTAGCTAATTTATATATTTTGCTCGTTTAACTCATTAAGTCAAAGTTACTTAATAATGTCATAAATTACACAGGTCTTCAAAATTTAACCAAATTTAGCTCTTTTGCTTATTTAGATCTTTTCTCTAAAGATATGTATTTATTAGGGAATGCAATCTTGCAGGAAAATGTACAATCTTGGTATAGCAAGATTTAAGAGGTGTAATCTCGCAAGATCTCGCAGATTTAAGATTAATAAAAATTAAATTAGTATAATTATTTTTATTACAACTTTGTTAGGTTATATCGTAAAGGCAAAATAATGAAATAAAACATAAATTAAATAATTTATTTAAGACTATTCCACTCATTATTTTATGGATCAATCAGATTTCAGAAAACGAGTATTTTTTTCATTGTTGCAGCGATAAAACTACTACCTATTTAGGTAAAAAAACACTCGTTTATACGACCAAACAATTGGTTGCTATGCGAAAAATAATTGTCAATGTTGACGTTTCCAATTTTAAAATAAAAATGTCAAAAAATATCGGCAGTTAATTCTAATTAAAAAAAAAATATTCGTGAAATAGTCTTGCCGAATACCACTCGTAATAAAATGTTTGATTTTTTTTACTCAAGATTTTTCCTTGTAAATTTCGCTCGTGGCATTAATTTAAAAATGAATCCCCAATTTCCAAGAAAAAAACAAAGTCAAAAATTTTATCGGTAAAATTAGTTCGATTTTTTCTCGCTAGGGGTATTGTTTTGACAAATTAATCCTTTTGTAAGAAATTAACGTACTAAACTGGTTTAATTTATTTATAATAAGCACTAATTTGTTTGTTTTACTGATAATCTTTAATATTTTTCATTAAATTATTGTAAAATTAAATATGAATAATAAAACAAAAAGTGAGGTTAGGCAACCAAGAAAACTCACGATTCTTTTTCTACGATTTAAATTATCTTTAAGTTTTAATTTGTTTTAAGTTTTCAGTGAAATTAAATGTTAAACACTTAAACATTCCAAACTTCCTATTTTTTAAATAAAAATCCAAACAAATTGAAATTAGATACCTACCTATTTATTAAACAATTAATTGAATATAATGCAATAGCAAAAATCAATTTCTACTTAAATCATGTAGCTAGGTATTGTCAAACTATTACTGCTTCTAAAAGCAATAATAATTATTGTACATTTAATGTAATCTTTAGCTAATAAACAAATGAGATTCTAAAAAAGTGAGGTTAGGCCGCTTTGATGTTGAATTAAATTGACCTATATAAAGTGCTTTGAAGATGAAATGTTGTATGCCATTCGGCCAAGAAGTGCCTTTTTGTGCTTCGCTCAATTGTAGGCCTCCGCTACGCGTCGGCCTTCAAACCTTGAGCTTGGCACAAAAAGCCTTACTTCTTAACCTAATGACATAAATAACTATTATTGAAAAAACTATACATTATTTTGAAAATGACTTCTCAAAAAAGACAAAACACATCCTAATCTCGCAAATCTTGCGAGCTCGCGCATAATTTTCGTGCAAGACCAGTCTTGCAGAACTATTTCGAGTATTCATCGTCTGTACACAGAAAAAAATTTTCACATAACTGGTCGTTGGTTATTTGTTTTTTTTTAAATATGGACAATTTTGTTTCAATTTGAAGGCATTTTGGCAAATGATTAAAACATTTTATACATGCATAGTAACAACCTTTCTCATACTGACTCAAACTGTGGCGTGGAAATATTAGACTTTGGGTACGTTGCGAAGACATACCTACCTATTTAATCTAAAATCTAACCTATTATTATTTGTTCTAATAACTAATATTTATTCAATAAAAAATATTTGGGTCTGAAAAAAAAGTAAAATTAGCCTATAATAAAATATTTCTTTAAACTAAAATTATTGCTTAAACTAGATATTTATTTGTAAACATGTGCATTTTTTCCACTTGACATCTAAGCAACAAATATTTTGTTTTTACTGGATAGATGTTTAATATACTAGTATTGGAATTAAACTTATTTAAATAAAATAGTATAACTTATGAATAGGCAATTCTTTAAATAAAATTAAGTAAAATATATCAATTAATATACTTACCAAATAATACGAAAAAACAACTATAAACACTACACGACGCGTCCTAACTCAGCCAACAAAATGTTCGTTTCGTTTACATAAGCGTGTGCCGCATCGCGTGACTTAATGCTCAAATCCTATTGGTTAATATTTACATGAAATGTGTAAAGGTTACCTATAATAATGTAATATTTAATATTTTTAGGTAGAATTAACTTTTTAATGTAAATTTTACATAGTACTTTTAAAATTTTATAAAATTCACATTATATGTTATGTACTTTTATAAGAATATGTATATTTACATTTTTTATCTAATTTCACACATATATCTTCTTAAAAACACAAAAATATGTACTTTTACCAAAAATTGGTAACTTTTTACAACTTCAGTTAGTGTGAAAGTTGTGTAAAATTACATACAATTTTCTCAGTGTATGTTTGTTGTTTTGCTGATTTAGCTATTTTCTTTTGAGGTTCTTCCCCAACGAAGTGATGCGCGTGCCTCTGTACGAGGCCGTGCCAGTCGAACTGATAATCACCCACTGCTGGGTGATGGACATCAACACGTACTGCAAGGGCCGTCCGATCGACGCGCCCGAAGAGCACATCTACATCTGCGAGTATCGCGTCGACAAGTCGGCGCGCATCTTCAGCAAAATCTCCAACAACAAGTTTCCCAACTGCACCAAATCGTTCGCTTTCGAGCGCTTCGAAACGAGGTTAAAGATTTCGCGGACTTACACGCCTCACGATCTCGATCCGACCATGTTGAAGCCGAGGGGCAGGAAGGCGAACGACGAGGAGGCTGCGCCTGCGCAGAGTGTTGCCACTGTGCCGCCGGTCCCTGCACCGCCTGCTCGGATTAAGGTAAGACGAATTTTACGTTTTTCCAGTGTTTTTTGATTTACTAAGCTACATTTGTAGCACCGTTTTATAAGCAGATTTTAAAAATAGACTTAACGTCATTTTTTTAAGTACGATCCAATAAAATGTTATCCCCGGTATTCGGCATATAATACAGACTGTATAGAATCAAGTAAGTAAGGCTGGAGACAAGGATGACAAATTATATTCTGATCAGAGAAAAAGAAACAAACTTCAATTGGGCGTGGTTTATACCAAGCCATTCGTAATTACGAACCATAGTTGCCAGGTTGTTTTAAATCAGAAAAGAACGATTATAATTATTTAATAAATAGTTCAATTTTATTTGTTTGAAACTTTAAAAATAACAAAAAAATTAATAATATGTCATAATTTGATTTAGTTAATTTTCTTACTTTTAATATTAAAAAATAAGAAAAACAACCCTTTTAGGAACCAATAATAGCATATGGCAACAGCGCGGCATGCAGTCAGATACAAGTGCATGCAGTTTGATCTACTGTTTGTTCAGTAGCTCCGACGCTGTCGTAGGGAAATGTGTATAGTTTTTAAGAAATACATTTTCGCCATTAACTGAACTTTAATGGATTTTAAACAATACTTAGTTTTTATTTGCAGAAATGCATTAAAACAAAACAAACGAATTCGATAAAAATAAAACCTATAAATTCTCAAACAAAAATAATTCTTAAATAACAAAAATAACTTTTTTTCTAAATTAAATGTTCAAATAGACCACCAGCAGCAGTTAAACAATACCCTAGCCTATCATAAAAATTCCTGCGCACGTTAAACAGCATTTCAGGACTAATATCTCCCAATGTATTAAAGATTTGCACCCTTAATTCATCGAGATTATTATTACCATAATTTGGTATTTTTCCTCACGGGTAAAAACCATTTTATTTGAGAAAATACTTTTTTGTTCTTTCAAAGACGTACGCAAAGTCTCAGTGTACTTCTTAAACTGACGCACAGATCATACGACCAGGGTTGCCAGATATTTTTGACAGTAAGAGCCAACCTTAAAAATAAAAATAGCCCAAAAGTAGCCGTATTGCCACTAAGGTCCGACCGAACCTGATTTTGTAGTCTTCGCAGGGGCGTAGCTACCGCGGTATTAGCCGTATCAATGATACGGGGCCCCCGGCTAGGGGGGGCCCCCGATTAGCTTTGACATGCGTACGCAAAAAACATTCCGATGTTAAAAAAAATGAGGCATGAAAATAAATAAATATATAAATAATATTATTATTTAATTGTTTATACTTCGATACCATTCTGTTCCAACGAGGCCGTGAACGAATTGTTTCTGCCCGCACTTTTCCGCTATGCGTTGTCTGCGGCGCAGTCTGCGCATATTGTTCTCTGTTCTGCGCCGCATACTGAGTCTGCTTTGCGTGTTATTATCATAGGTTATATTAATAGCAAATTATAAATAATTATTAGCGTTACAATTATTTCAAATGACATGCCTTTATTTTAAAATAGAAACCTTTTAAAAGACGTTGAAGAACGGTAATTACCGTTTTATTTATAAATGTCTAAAACCAGACCAAATTTTAAAATTTGCCTCTAGGTACATTTAAAGCTATGTATACATATATTATTTATTAAATTATAAAAAATTGGTAAATGCAAAAAATGATACCCTAAAAAAATTTTTTTTTTGCCAAAAATAGACTGTGGGCCCACAGTGTGGGTGTGACACCCAGAATTTTTTTTTGCCAGCAGCTTTTCCCGAATAAGGGCCCCTACCAGATTTTTGATACGGGGCCCCCTCGAGGCTAGCTACGCCACTGAGTCTTGGTCATAGAGAAACAATTCTTAATGGTCTCTATGGTCTCTCGCGAGACAGATAACATAACAAATATTGCTCTGCTCGATAGATTTATTGCATGTAAAGTTCACATTGTGAACTTAGAAGAGATTAACATTTAAAATTACTTAACTATTTAAGCATCTTAGCAAAAAGGTAATGGTTACTCAGAGCTCGTTCTCGTTTTGGTCGCGCATGCTTAGCGCTTTGAATGTCCGAGTTATGCAAAGTTTCGGCCATGGCCCATAATCTCGGCCTTTTTTAGCCAAAATCGAGAAATAGATCTCGGACAGATTTATGGACGAGAATGACCAAGATCAAGATCTCGATCGGACCTTAATTGGCACCTTGATTTGCTTCCTAGATCATGGAACCTACACAAGGAGTCTGAACTCCATGTATATAAATGATTTCCCAAAATAGGAGGGCGCTTGTGTTATGTTTGTTGTTTGGTTTGCTCTGAAACATTGTAAGGGTAAAACATGGAAATAAGCGCCGCTAGTGGTGAAAAAATAACACATAATTGGTGCGATCTAGTAGGCGGGTTCTGTCAATTCCCCCTATTGAGCTCATACTCATTGTGTATGCTTCATGCTCTAGATAAATAACTTTAATAACGTTCAAAAACAAAAACAAATTGCGAACAACTGTTAAATAAATAAAAATAATACTAAATAACTTTATACTTCTTCTTTTGTTGCGTAAAGTTAATATCAATATCTCTATAAAATTTTGCGCATGATCAATTGAGAAAGGTCTATTTATATTCTTTTAACCAATTGTAGCCCAATTATAGCCCCTTTGCTAAAAATTTAGCCCAAAGTAGTAGCCTGTAGCCGTCTGGAATTTTTGAGAGCCAAAGAAGACGTAGAGATAGCCCAATTGGCTATAAATAGCCCAATCTGGCAACTCTGCATACGACAATGATATAGTCGCGGCCAAATCTGTATGGGTGCACGTCATCAACGGCATATGACGTCAGCGTTAAGGTCTATTCATACGTGCCCAGACACAATCTAACGCTCGTGTATTGTTGACTGTTTATAGCGGTGGGGGCTGTTATTAAGATGGAATTATAACGTCCTTGTTATAATCTTCTGCGCTATCTAATTAGGAGTTTGTTACAGGCAAATTTTTATTAAATGTGTTTAAAGAGAAAACAAACGGAGTTTATTACATTTTTATTACATATGCACATAACAAAAAAATACTAAATTATCAGGAACACAAAAATAATAAATTACCAGTCGTCCTTGTCATCAGAGCAAACCAGGTCAGAATTGAAGTCTGATTATTTCCCCAAATTTATTATTAAGGGCGCAATGTCTTCGAAACTATAGTTGCCAACAAGCCTTATATCATTGTTTGCACAATCCAGGGATAGAATCTTAAAAACATAATGTATAATATTATTTATAATAATTTGCAACAAACGATGCTTCCGGACGAAATGTTACAATTACAAAAATACGTCAAATATAAAATGACAGCGACCCATCAATAATATTGAACGGTGCGCGCCAGCCTTAAGCTATTATCAACTGGCACACACAAAAATTACTAAGTGAATGGTTTTATTTTGATAATTTCGTAAAAAAACGTTTTAAAACAAGGAAATTTTTACAGTTCTTGGTAAACAATACGCAAATGAATGATTTCTTTTTAATAACACATCAGAATTACGCCTTAAAAAAGCAAATTTAACGGCAGTAACTTTACAATTCAAAGTTGGTAATGCTAACGTCATTATATCTCATTGATGACGTGCACCCATATAGATTTGGCCGTGACTATACGGCAAGCAAACAAATTCAATCCCTACCACAGTGTGCGGGGTTTGGCACTTGTTTTATTTAAGTGTATCTATTCGTTTTAATACACACTTTATAACAGCTTCGATAACACCTAGACAGTATATTTTTTTATGAAAAATGTATTCACTGAATAAATGGACAACCACTAAAATTATTTATTTATTTTAAAATTATTTTAATTATATACAGGGTGTTGGACATTTACGAAATACGGGTGTTTCACGTTCATAGTCCATTGAGAGTTTCTGAGGAACGGCAAAAGATATCGATTTGAAATTTATAAAGCGTTTATAATTCAATTAAGCCTATTTTTCTAAAAAAAGAATTAAAGAAAATGTCACTTCCGGTTTGCCGCGATTCAAAATGTTAAAGGCAACTTTAAGTTTGAATACCTTCAGAACGGCTCACTCTATGAAAAAATATATTGAAACTTTTTTGTAGAGCGTTCAATTTCCTACCAAAATAAGAAAAAAAAAATCCCATGTTATTTAAATGGAAAATGGAAAGTTAGAAACAGGCACCACTTAATGTTAATATTAAGAGCACAAATTTCTTTTTTCACCTTGAAAGTTTTTACCCTGTTTTTTAGCTGAAAAAAAAGTTGCTTAAAAATTACACACCCTATTCTACATAAAATTTTGAGTAAAATTACTGTACCACATCCTATACCTAAATTGAATAGTTTGTAAGTTATTAGTTTTTTCGCGTCAATCAAAAATAGCCTATAACTTTCTTGCTATTAGGTATGGAAGGACGACATTTTGAACATTTGTTATAAATTGTTTTCAGAGCCGACTATTGTTGATTTAATGTTTTAAAAATTTTAAATTACAGCGCCATCTGTTGGTAAATTGAAAAAAAGTTTCAAATAAAAGTTATTCATTTTTTTATGTACTACCAAAATCTGTGAAAAAATCGGATCATCCCGTTTCACCCTTAAGGAGGTGTAGGGGTCGATTAACCTTTTATTTGAGACATTTTTCCGTGAAATGCGTATTTCTCCAGATATTCTGTCTCAAGTTAAAAGAAACACCCTGTATATATATATATCGCTATTTCTGTCAAATTTTAAAGAAATCATTGATCTCTTTTTTTAATTTGCTCTCTTAAGGATATTTAATATCTCGCGTAGAATTTACAATTTTCAACGAATGGTCAATCAAATTGAATTAAACTGAATGATATCTGTAAATATATGTGATACTCAATTGAGTATTGATATTGATATCAAAAAAATATCAGGTGTAGGGCTTTTGTGTAAAATTGAATTGTCTACAAAAAAGGTATCCAGTCGTTTTTGCGTATTTTGTAGACAAGAAATTTTGTTTTCAGACATTCTTGTTTTCTTGTGTTATTTAAATGAGAAATATATAGCGCGACCTTTAAATAATATCCGATTGCTCTCAAATTTAAAGACGTTTGTGAGGTCAAATCCTGTCAACCTTTCTTAAATTTTTGTTTTTATTTCAGTCTAAAGCACAAAGAAAGTCCCGCTTAAACAAAATCCTGCTGAATCTCTTAGGCAAAATGCCATCAAAACAGGTCCTAGACCTGTCGTACTTACTAGAAGGCAGTCGTAGAAGAAAGAAGCAAGCCGAACCCAACAATAGTAAGAGCTAATTTTAACAATTTTACATTACACATTTGTGATATTTTAGATATTGTTTTATTTTTACAATTAAAAGAAGCCATTATTGCAAATATAACGTTGATTTATATTATTATACACTAGGGTAAATGATTATTGTTTAACTGTTCTTTATACATAATTTTAATAGCTAGTCATAGTTATGTTATTCACTTTATTACTCACCTTTTGATTATTTATTTGTAAATATATAAAATTTGTTGCTATATTTGGACAAGTTAAAATATTGTTACTTTGTATAGTTATCGGGGGAGTTATTTTTTCAGTATTTTTTATATTGTGGACATAAATTAAATCAAAATTATTACGGTAACTTATATTACACATTACAAAAAATGGCTAAAGTGACGATGCATTTGCCTTCAGAAATCATCTATTTTTAATATCAAATTATAATTCACTTTGGTCATTTTGCATTATTGCTCTACTATATACAAGTATTAAATTTAGTTTACATTGATATATTTTTGTACATAGACTATGGTATTTATATAATTTTAATTTATTTGGTGACTTAGGTTTTAATTTTTTTCTTGCCTGATTAGTGTTAAGGTTTTAACATTGCATATTACTAACAAAGAGTAAGAATAGTAAGAGGAGACAGTCTTATTTTGGTGAAATAAAGTTATAAATTTAAATACCTAGAACACTCAAAGAAATCTTTAGAAATCATACTTTCTATCTATCTTATATTATGCCCTGTTACTGTTTGCTCTTACCATTCAGACTCTTTGATATTAATTACTTGTAATTTGGTGTTCCCTGGAACATATTTTATCTCACATTAGACTAATGATATACTTTTTATTAATAATAAAGTTGTTATATTTTCTACAAACCAAAGTGTTTTATTTGCCTTTTTGGTATGACCTAATAGGTGGCAAAAAATCAAAAATTGATTTAGAGATAATGTTAAAAATTTGTCCCTTCTGTCCGCTCTTACTTTTGTATAAAACTACTTCTATACAAAAGTTGATAATAACCGAAGTTAAAAGTTTGTTTTCAATTTTACCATATAGCTTTCAAAAAAACGAACGTTTATGCACAAAATGATATTCAGGGGTTTTTCAAATAATACTTTTTTATCTTTATTCCGTAAAAAAGGGCGATTCCATGATTACTAATGGGACACAGAAAGAAGACAAAATGTTTTATGAATATTTTTGTAGATATGTTGTTCCTATAACAACAATTTTATGATAGTTATTATTACTTAATTTTATTGCTGAGAACTATAATGAAATTATTATGGAACCAACACATCATTTTCATTTTCATTAAACATTTTGGTTTTTTTTGTTGGTCCTGTTAGTAATCATGGAATCACCCATAGGTAGTTTATAAAGGTCTAAAATACTAATTTACTAACTGTTTTTTAAACTTTTAATGTTTTGTAATGTTTCTTTAAAAATATTTATTTTAAGTACAAAAATCATACAATTTAAATGCACATATCTCGAAAACTGTTACATTTACAAGGTCCTTTTTTTGCATAATAAAGTTGAAAAAAAATAAGTTAATGTTTGCATGTCGAAAAAAACTTTTTTTTTTTAATATCTTGAAAACAAGTTATTTGCAAGAGCTAATTGAGCAAATTGGCCACTATATATCTTATCAATAGCTGAACAAACTTTCTAGATAAAAAATGTTTAATTAAAATATTGCCAATTATGTTTTTATATAAGCAAAATACTTTGGTGGGCTATACATCCTACAAAAACAGAAAAACCATGTAAATTTTAAACTTTAACTATTTCTTAATTTTTCTCCTCAAAAAATATCTAAAACCATTTTGCTGTGGATTTTGATAGTAAGTAACACATTTTTTTTAATGTGTCTTTGGCCGCTCCAATCTACAGGTTCCCTCGAAATTATTAATAATAATTGTAATAGGTAATTTTTTTTAGGTAGGTATTTGGATATTTAATATCTGATATAATTTAAGAAACTAAAATGTTTATATTTATAGTTAATTTCTCGGTTAATTTCGTGTGGCCCTGTAGGTTGGCATAGACAAAAAGATATTTTCTAAAATTATATTATTTAATGATTAAAAACCTTATCGTGTTTTTTTTAATTTTACCGTTGACCGTGTGCAAAAATAGCGATTTTGCAAAGAGAAGCAATTTCACATAAATTTTGTTTTGAAAAGCTCATAAAATAATGATTTACGCCTATATTTAAATTATTATTTGAATTTGAATTTTATATAAGGCCCATTAAAAAGGTGTTAATTAATTTGTTGTATAAATATTTTAAAAATTTTGGTTTTTAGGCAGGTAAAATCGAAATATAATTCTCATACCTCATACCAGTTGCTAAATTCAAATCCAAGCTGGACTAAATTTTTTATTTATTAAATTTATTTATTAAATTGAAACTACAAATCAACTTGTAATAGCTGTTAACGTAGAGTAATCATTACAATAAAGAAAAAATAGATTTATAAATTGAATAACAGTATAATAATTATAAATTGTCCTTGATGTACTTTTTCAATGTTTTTATAAATTTTTCATATTTATCCAAGGATTTAATGGAGTTTGGTAGATCATTGAAGATTTTAACACCCTGTTGTATTGTTGATCCAGAAGCCTTTTTGGTCCTAACTCTGACTGTTCTGAGGTTTTGTGCTCCTCTAGTTTCATAGTTGTGAAAATCCGAGTTTATGTTCAAGCTTGCACTTGTTTTAATGTCTTTGTTTTTTATCTTATATACTAATTTGCACAATTCGAAACTAATTAACTGTTTAATATTCATTACCGGAATTATTTTATAAAGGTTTATATAGTTGGTGTATCATACGGTAGATTAAAAATTGCTTTTAGCGCTTTATTTTGCAGTCTTTGCATTCGGTTTAGATTTCGTTGGGATGTATTTGACCATATTGCTATGAGATAACTTAAGACTGATTTAATATATGAGTTATATATAAGGAATCTGCAACTCTCCGTCAAATATTCATTTACACGTCTAAGCGCACCAACTAAGCCACTAAGTTTGTTATATATTTCACCAATATGTTCATTGAAAGTCAAGTTTTGATCAATTGTTAATCCAAGGTATTTATAGAAAGTCACTTTTTGAATGGGTACATTGTTTATTTTAAGATTCACTTTTGGGTTGTTTTTATTCTTTAAGCTAAACTGCATATATACAGTTTTTATTTCATTCACTATTAATCCATTTGAACATAGCCAATTATAAAACTTTTTTAAGTCTTTATTAATGATGTTTTCTATTGTTTTCATATCCTCATGATAGTACAAAAGTGCTGTATCGTCTGCAAACATGTAGTGTTCTCCTAGTAAACACAATCCTCCGAATCGACCAATAAGAACTCACAATCCGAGTCACACCATCATAATCAACCAATAAGAACGAGTTATCAAGCGTCTGGGCGTTTTTGTTTAGTCCAGCTTGGATTTGAACACACATAGACCAAATTGAGATGTATTTGTTGCTTCATAAAATACTGTACATTGAAATCAAATGTTTTTAATTAGAAAATAGATAACTTAAACTTATTCAGGTATTTAGTATTTAGGTAAGTATTAATTTAGGAAAACATAAAAATAAAAAATTGTATTTTTATTCAACAATAAAATAAAATATAATACCTACAAAAATGAGTTTCTGAATACACAGCCAAATAGCATACATTGTATAGTACATCAACAATAGTCTGTTAAAACTAAAATTACCTAACTAGGAAATTTTAAAACACTTCTCATTAGATCATTCCCAGAAATAATTTTATCACTTAAAATACATATTTTAGCACCTGTGATAGTTTCCAATAGGTTACAAGCTGCAATTTCAGCATAAGTAACACCTCCAATAACATAAATTAACAAAGATCTTGATTGTAGGGGAAACCCCCTATCATTTCTTAGAGTAAGTGGTCCCAAAGGTTCCAATTTTAGCTTAATATCATCCAAAGGTGTGGCGCTTAATATCATACCTGCTATTTGCACTATTAAAGGTATGTAGAGCCCTCCAAAAACATAGCTAGCACATGTGGGGTATTTTAGGTTGACTTTCTCTGGCTCATTTATTATTTGTTTGATATTTTTTGCGTTTGTATAGAAATTCTTTGAGTTGAATTTAGGGAATTTTAAGATTTTTGTTGGTAACTTTGATGTTGATTGTGCGGGTTCTGAAATAAAACCACAGGTTACTAAATTGTGGAAAGTGTACCCGTTTTTGTAGCCAAACTGTTGTAGATATTTTCTTCGAAATGACTGTATTTCACTGTCTGATAGAGTTTGTGTGATTGATATGAGGCAAAGAAGTCTTAAAGAGGTATAAGGATCGTTTTCTGTAACTAATATTTCTTCTAAATAACTAAAATTCCTGCTTTTGTTGCTATTTTTTATAATATTACCTTCCACTTCCCTTTGATTTTCATATCTATGCCCCAACTTTTGTATAATGCTCTCAGCAGCATTCAAGTGATTTGTTATATTTTTCTTACGAGTTTTGGTCACTTGTAATTGAGTTTGAACATACCTTTTAATTTCATCCAAAGCCATATCTTCAGAACTCAACTTCTCAGATTTTAATTGTTTGGTGAGATTACTTAGTACAGTAGTAACTTCAGTGAAATATCTATTTTTGATGTCGGCATATACACTATCTTGCACACTATCTAAGGGGAAATTAATTATTTTCTTTTTTGTAACCGGATTACATTTGGAGTCATATTGTTGGTCACTTTCTTCTGTATTCTCACAAACACCAACGTTAACATTGTAAACTTCATTTAAAAGAGCTGAGTATGTTCCAGGAGTTAATAGAGAACTTGCATAGTCCATAGTTCTATCAATTATTACTAGTCCCCCAAAATCTGAGTCAAATTTATCAGTCTCTCCATTATCCTCACACATCATGTCATATTGTTTTAAAAGAGAATTAGAATAATTGCCAAGAGTTAAAATAAATGTAGGTTTACCCACCACAAAACCTATTTGCCATAATATCCTAGATAATACTGGTAAGTAAGTTAAATTCTGACATACAAACAAATTGTTAAATAAATTTGGGATTTCCAGTGTTAATACATTTGTATCTAAATGTAAGGGCATCCATTGGAACCTATGCAAAGTTATTGCAGAATGTAAAAGTCCTAATTCTTCCAAAAGTTGCTCGAAGTAATGTAAAATTTGAGGTACAACAATAATGTGAAATTTATTTCTTACAGGATTTTCTATATCTACTTGTGACCTAATTTGGTCCACAACTTTAGTAAAAACTTTAGTATTTGCATAAATCATGTAGTATACAGCTGTTGCAGAAAAAGTAGGAGCTGTGGAGTCCAGTTTGAAAATTTTTTCGACCCCATTTCCTCTAAAATAATAATAAATATTAATATTATTCCATTTAAAGTAACGACTTTCTTACTTTAGCCACTTTACACCACAAACTTTTTCCAAGGGACGAATTATTTCCGGTTCTAAAATTAGATATTTTGTGTTGGGGTTTGCACTTAATATTTTCGATAATTGAGCTTTAGATATTTCTTGTAGTGATGTTAGTTTTTTACTAACATCCATATCAATTTGATATTCGATATTTACAAATAATGTTTCAAAACACGTATTCTAACCTAATTTGGTAAACGTCAAATATCAAAATTGTCCACAAGATTTCTTTTGCCCATAGACGAGCCACAACTAGACGTATAACTGGTTGCGATTTTCGACTTTATAAGTCAAAACAAAACGTGATTTTCTACCTTATAAACCACGCTATCTATAAACATTTTGACTGCGGAGAAAGCACAGATTATAAAGAAAGGAAAGCGGAGCAAAACATAAGACGAATACGTCTAAAGTCAAGTCAAATCCAAGCCGAACTCGACATAAACACAATCATGCGTTGTCCATGCTCTATTCACGTGATCGACGAAAATTGTTGCACTGGGCCGTATTAAAATATATTGAATCAATATTATTGATCATTTAATATTTTAAATTTATTTTTTAAACTTTGATGGAAAGGTGTTAAAATATTTATAAAAGTTATATTTTTTAAATTACGAAATTAACAAAATTTTGGGAAATAATTTCATTATTATTTTAAATTTATTTTTTTAAACTTTAATGTAAACTTTTTAAATTTTTTACGAAAATTATATTTTTTAAATTAACTTCACGAAATTTTTGATTTGTTTTAAATTTATTGTTTTAAACTTTAATAATTAAAGTTTAATGAAAACATTTATAATAACCTCTTTTATTTCCACACTTAAGTGATTTCTTTTAGACCGTTTTTTAACTGGGCTTAAGTCCTCAAAATGTTCAGCTTCGTCTGTGCTAGACATCGCACTTAATTGAATAATAATAATAACAATAAAAACCAAATAACCAAAACAATGATAGCAATAACAACAACAATAACAACAAATAACGTTATATAACAAGTATTAATAATAAAACAATAACAAAAATAACCACAAAGATGAAAGCCGCGAAAACAAGGAAGTAATCAAACAATACGCTATTAATAACCGCAATGGACATAATGCGGCCCTGGCAAGAATTTTCGGCACGCTTCACAACCTTGAATCGCCCAATAAGAACCGTTCTATCCACCTGCAAACGACTGATCACGCGTCTGGCGTTTTTTGTTTTAGTTTGTCTTGGATTTGACTTCACTTCAGGGTTGCCAGGTCTAGGGAAATGTCCCTAGATCTGGGGAATTTTACATCACATTAGGGAAAAAGGTAGTTTTATGATTTTTAGGACAAATCTAGGGAATTTTCAACTTTTTAATTAAAAACCAGCAGTTAAGTTATTAAAACGGAGGTATTTACCTATTTAGCGTTTTTGGTTATTCTCATATTTGCACATAGATGGCTCTAGGAGTCTTTAGGATATACCCAGAGCCATCTATGTGCAAATATCCAATATAGGAGGCATTAAGCGCATGAGCACACCATCAGTTGTTGTGGCTTGACAATTAATTTTATAACGTGCGAAAATGAGCTCCCCTAAGCATCTACATCTGGAGATTACGACATGATGACATCACCATCATCCTCAGAAGAAAACCAACACATGAAGTCAAAAAGAAAACAGAAATTGTACACACAAAAGTACAATCAACAATGGGAGAAAGTACCAGAGTTTAAAGGATGGCAGCCAAAAAGGTATCAACTACGCTCGTTGCAAAGCTTGCAATAAAGATTTTAATATTTTATTAAGATGTGCGTTGTTTGTATATAATTTATAATAATTATTATATAATATAATATAATTATTATTATAATAATATAAATAATTCAAAATTTATTTGTCCCAAAATATAATATAATATAATATTAAAAAAAGTTTCAATAAAAAAAATCTTGACATACCTACTTGTCTAGGGAAATCTAGGGATTTTATTGTAAAAAATCTGGGGAAATAAAAAAATATCATCTGGCAACCCTGCTTCACTTTAGTTGTGTCTCGTCTATGGTTCTGTCCACAGTGGTTTAGCCATTGGTGTAGGAAAGTTGGTTGCCTGATTTTCTGTTGGCTGCCCTGCTCGTAAACGGTTATACAATTTAAATTTTGCATTCATTCGTATGTCAAAGTAAATATTAGTGCGCTTAACATGGAAGAAGTAATTCGTTTTGATAAAAGTTTGCAAGAAAGACTAACGGAATTCCGAGATTTATTACCTGATAACTTAACAGCTGCAAATAAGGAATGGTCATTCTACTTGGAATTAACTTTGGATCCAAATGGTTGGCAGGCGGTTTGGAAAATACCAAGAACCACCTGTAAAGCATTAAAAATACCTTTTCCATCTATCATACTCGTATTTGTATTGGATGTGGACTTTAAGGAATTAACTGCTTTAGTAAAGGTATTAGCTGTTGAAGATGATGATATTCACATTCACGAACAACACAGAGTGCCTTTGGTGCAATTATGGGTCACCAAAGAACAAGATGAAAGTATTGCGTTAAATCTTCCATCCACTGCTAATGCAGTCGATATTTTGCGATTCTTTTACACTAAATTGCTTATGCCGTGGGATTTAGATGAGCATAATGCTGACTGGAAAGAAAAGCATTTGGAGCCTAGGCTAAGATTGTATTATGACATGAAGAATGGAATAATTCCTAGGGCGACTGCTGAGCATATTGCCTCACTGTTGACTGAAGCTAGAAGGATTCAAAATCAACGTGAGATTTTGGAGGATAGTGTCAGCGACGTCGATAATGAGAATGAATTGTTTGAGAATAAGAATATAGAGAAATTGATGGAGTTGCATGTGAGGTTATTGGAGATTAAGAGTGAGTTGGATATTTTGGAGGATCCTTTGCTGAGGAAAGTTATTGTTAAAAGGCAATCTGAGGAGGTATCTGTAAAACATACATCAGAAAAATTGGAATTTTGGCTTGTTTACAAAAAAGGTTTAGTTGATGATTACCTTGGCTTCCTAAACAAAGTTAAGAGTGATTTTGGATCAAATACACCCATGACTTTTGTCTCAAACTTGGGTAACATTTTAGAAATAGCTAATGTGAATAGTACATTTATTTTATGTGAGGGGAGTCATGAAATAAGAACCACTGGTGCTTTGGAAACAGGCGGCAGACTTATAGGAATTTCTGATGGAAATTCCACTGAGCTATCATCAGAAAGAGATGATATTATGTTGGATTTCATAGGCAATAATGTTGAATTAAAAAATATGACAATACAAGCTGGAAAATCTCAGTGTGGAATAGTCATAAGAAAAGGAAAAGTAACATTGGAAAATGTTAAACTTGTTGGAGATGGAGTTTCTTCTACACAGCAAGGGATTATTGTATTAGCTGGTGCTGAGTTGGAATTAAAAAACTGCAAAATTGAAAAATTTAGCACTGCTGTTGTGGGAAATACAAATTCTTCAATTTTCTTAAGGAATACTGAAATTCATAATGTTAACTTTGGCTTGAAAATTTTTGATAATTGTTATGTCACTGCAGAAAATTTTTCTTTAAATGATTGCAAGAATTATGGAATTGTATATGAGACTGAAAAGAATTTAGGAAATAATAAGGAAAAAAATAATGGAAAATTTGATTTGCTGCAATTGTAAGTAAATTTTGTTGTGAAAAACATTTTATATTTTATTGTTTTTTAGGATTCCTCATATAAAAGTGGATCACATTACAGGAAATAACAACATTAAGGGGGATGTTGTAATTAGTCAAAAATCAAAAATAAATCCCATAAGAGATCTTTTTGCAAATCCAGAATTTGATTGCACAATTTGTGAAGAAGGTGATTCGGAAATGAGTGATAATTTTAATGTCACTGTTGTTGAGAATAACATTTCTCCAGTTCTTTAAGTTTCAAATTTTTATTTTAAAAAATATTATATATTTTTGCATTTTGGAATTTGTTTTATTTACAAATAAAAAGTTTTTTATTATATTGTTTTTCTACATTCATTTGAAATATTTTGATTAAAAGAATATGGTACCTATATTGTGAGACTAGTAAAAGAAAGAGGAGACTTCTTAAGCGTGGAGTTTGCCGCACGAGCGTAGCGACTGCGAGTGGAATCTTCTCTTGACCAATGGTCGCTCACAATATTTTATTTAACTCTTGGAAGAAAAAACTAAGATTTAACTACAACAATATTGTCATATGACTTTAAAGCCAATTTTATTTAGTATTTAATTTTGCCCACTAGTGGGCGTCGAGTCGCCCGACGAGGGATTCAAATCCGAATAAATAATCCGCATAATCTAAGCTCTATTCTACAGGACTGTCCTGTATTTTGCCTGTAAATAGCGACATTATTATTACTTTTCTTTGTAAAATATTCAATTTAAAGCTGGCAACGTAGCGCTTGAAAAGGTATATATACCTTTTCAAGCGCTACGATGCCAGCTTTAAATTGAATATTTTACAAAGAAAAGTAATAATAATGTCCATATGGACTTCCCCGAAACTAAAGATATTTCAACTGCGCAATACGAAGTGCGCATACTCTGTAGCGTCATCTAACATACTAAACCAAACAGTACTGTACAGTTAGTAGAGGATCCCAAGTAAGGTCGACCTTCACTCATTTGCTTACCAGATGAAAATTATATTTTATCAAATAAAATATGTTTCTGAACATAAACCAATAGGGTTGCCATAAAAAATATGATCATGGCTATAATAAATAAAAAATTAAAAAAATAATTTATTTTTTAAATTTCACCGACTTGCTTGCCAAATGAACGAAATTCCAATGGAAAGCATACAACATACAGAATATGTAACAGCTAGGTTGCCTACCTTTTTCTGGTCCCTATTTCTATATAGAAATAATACTATATTATTTCTATGCCTCAGCATAATCTTTAGTGTACTACTATACTTTATCTACTCCAAAAAGTAGATAATTAAATATTTAATTTAATCATATGATTTTAAAAAATAAATAAATGAAATCTGCCAAATGGTTAACCTCACTTTTTACCAATTTTAAATATAGTTGGTTTCGCCCAATCACTAATGCCCAGGAACGTGAATAATGACTTCATTATTTTTGTTGTTAGGCAGAGAATTTATAATGTTTACAATTGTATACGAAAAAACCCAATTTTATGTAATAGGGCAATATAAAATGCATTATTTTTTTTACAGGTAGACAAATGTTTTACAGGATTTTTTGATTTTTTAAACATAGAACCATTGAAAAGGACTTGGTTTTAATTGTATCCTAGGAATCTAACGATTTTACAGTTTTGTTTAAAATCCATGACATGACAAGGATACAATGTCCAGGTCTTCTTGAGTCAAGAACATAACCATGATACAAGGAAACTTTTCATAGAATTGATACAAACTTTTGATTAAACTTTGTATCATGGCATGACTAGAGTTGGGGGGTACGCTTCGTGACACCCAAACACGAGAGATCTAAACTCGATGGGTCTAAAATTTAAAAGCGCGGTGGGTCTAAAATGTGTGGCAACGTTGTTTTTGAAACGTCAAAGGCGTAAGGCTTCGTTCACATTTTTCATAAAAAATCGTATTTTCTTAAATGAGATTCACCTACTTTCGTTCAAACAAGATTTCGGTCAAAGAAAAGTAGGTACTTCTGAAACAGTCTGTTTCAAACAGATATGCAAAATTAAAAATTGTGGTGGAAAAGGTCATTCAGGGATTGTTTTGAATGAAAGGGTGGATTCCATTGCCAAAGCAGCATCAAACAAAAATACAGATAAATATAAAATGATTTTATTAAAATCCCCTTTTTTAGAATATCGGAAAATACAAATATACAATAATAATTATTGGAATAAATTGCAAGATATACACATACCTATTGTGAGATATACATACCTATTGTGAGTTACATTGTGTATCTTGGTGTTATCCAGGACTCATGGAGAGTTATTTTTGTATGGAGTAGGTATGCTTTAGTTTTTTGCTTTGCCATGTATAGATTGGATTATATATTATGAAAGGAGTTATAACAAGTTTTATGACAATTTTACCAAGGAAATTGTTTAGAAGGTAAAGATTGATTTAAATGTTAATGTTTAATGTAGGTATATAGGTATGTATGTATAACTGGTGACATGAAAAAGTTTTACTTTAACGGTGACATGGAGTCTCTCAGACTCGCTGGATTATTATAATATTCTGACTAGGAAAACGAGGAGCCTCTAGGTGTAACTAGGCAAAAATCCAAAAAATTACCTCCTCCACCAACTTGGATATCCTCTTAGCTTGTTGAAGAAAAGTGCAATAATTTGGAAGGTAGTATAATATTATTTATAATGTATATAATTAATGTTCTGTTTATTACTTTTATGTCAATACTAATTAAATTTCACTGTTACAGATTTCCAGAGGGCAGTAATTTTTCCAAGCCCTATTCCATCAACTTCGAAAAGCGCCCTAGAATTAATAAAGAACAAAGTAAACAGTATAGATAAGTTTTGTGAGCTGTTCTTAAAACTGTTAGTGTACCTAATGAATGCATTTTAGGTGAAACATTCAAAACAGGTACTAGTTGTTGTTGCAATCCACATCTGATATATAATATATATTATAATATACAGTCACTGTTGTTAGAAATTAATTCCAAAGTGGGAAAATGTGGAGTAGAATATCGTAAGGAAGTTTTTGAAAACTTCCTTTCAGATTCTGAAAATTATTCAGCAGTGGTAATTTCTTTTTTATCCATTATCCTAGAATTTTCATAAAGTTACATTGGTGAGTATAGTTTCTTTTTTCTGATTTATAGGTTCAGTTTTTTTCACAACTTGGAATCTATGAATTTATAAGATGATGTCTCCCACCTATAATTACAGATAGTCTAGCTGAACAGTTCTCCCTCTTAGGGAAAAAAGGAAAAACCATGTTTGGAAGCTTATCATTAGCCAAAGCGATAATCGGTAAATAAAAATAGACTTTTAAACCCAACCCCTTTTGATTTTGCAGATTTTTTTTATATTTTTTTACCCCACTTAAAATAAAAGAATATTTCCAATTTTTTTTTATCCAACTATAGAAGCATCGAACCCGCAGCTAAGTGGGTCGTGTTTCTATGTTGGTAGTTACCCGGAAACTTTTTCTTAACAATATAATTTTTATTTCAGAATGTGCACAGAAATCTGAGCATTCCATTAATTACAAAGAGGCTGAGCAACAAATTGGAGATTGGTTGAGAAGGGCAAAAGAAAGAAGGTTAAGAGGAGAAATAAAAAAAAATTGAATTAAATGTTTAATTTTAGCCATAGGTAAATAATATATTATGTATGTATATGTATGTTTTTTTCAATATACTTTTAGAATTTTATGTAGCTGGGGTATTTGGTTCCTTAAAGGTCTTTGGGGTGCTTATTTGTTTCCTTTTATATTATTTATTTATATTATTTTATATTAACTGAGTATTTACAGTATTTCAGTTTTTTACTTTAAATTAAATATGTTTTAAGTATTTAAACATTATAACTGTTAAGTATTTGTATTTGTTAAGAAATAACATGCTGCAAGCTTTAAGTAGTAATGGTATTGGTGCCTGTTTGTCTGCATAAACTGTGTCCTTTCAAAATAAAACTTATTTTGAAAATTTTCGATTTATTTCAAACCTTTTTAAAAGTCATTTAGGAATATAAAATATAACATACTAAAAACGACCTAAGGATGTTCCCAGAATGTATGAGGTTCATCCCAAGTTATCCTAGAAACATCCTGATGGGATAGACATGGAGTCTAAGAGACTCCCCTTACACTTTAAACACATGTGTTGGGTTGGGTCATATTTACATACACATTTTGGAAACAACTAATATTGGTAGAGACTCTCTACTAGAGAGTGTTATAATACCATCTAGGATTGAAGGTACCTGGAGGATGAAACAGATTTAGCGCGAACTTTTAAATATGCACTGATTGCAAAGTGCTTAGGAGTCTGGTATAGGTACTCCAGGTCACCAATTAGGGGTTAAAATACTTTCATGCTGTTCTTTAATGACAAAATTTAATATCTAATTGAGTTGCGTCGAGAAACGGGTTAAACAGGTAAACAATTATTTCATAGCTATAGCTATAGCTATCTATAGATAAACTATTTAATTTAAAAAAAAAATATCCCAGATCGCCAATGAAATAGGATTATTTCTGATTTACATAAGGGAACATTTTTATAATGAATAAACAGGATTGTTGTGGGAAAATTTATATTTCTATTGTAAATTATAATAGTTCCACACTGTGAGCAGATAACATCAAATAATAAATCAAATAAAAAGTTTTGAAATTAAACATTTAAAATACCTACTTATAAAAACCATAAACTGTTTCCCATTTCGTTTCCTTTGTGATTTTCCCGAGGATCCGGCCAAATTGTTTACTTGAAATTTGATACAGGCGGCCAGTTAATTAATTTTTATTTATTTTGACTAGGGAATAAAATTCATATTGGTCTATACTCCTTCATAAGCATTTTTAAGAGAGCGAGAAGTATAATGCGCCGTTTGTGTAAAAATTAAAAGTGGAAAATAAACTTGTTTTGCTTTATAAATAATTAATGAAATGCATTTTTTCCCAAATTATTTTTTATCAAACTAGTTTGAAGAAATAGCTATTTCTTTACAACATTATTTTTTTATGAAATTCTTTTTTTATCAAATTATTTTTTTATGAAAATATTTTTTCATCGATTTATTTTTTTATTAACTTATTTTTTTATTAAATTATTATACAGGGTGTTCCAAAGAAAACTTGTATTTATGCCTAAATGACAGCTGTCACAATGACAGGTGCAAAAATAACAGCCGTCAAAATGACAGGTGATAAAATGACGCTCAAAATGACAGATCCCATTTGACACGTGCTAAAATAACGGCTGTCAAAATGACAGGTGCTAAAAACAGCTTTGATAAGAAAATAATTTCATAAAAAAATAATTTCATAAAAAA